TTGGGGATAACATTTTATTTTAATAGGCTTGATGATCTCTTTAACAATTAGTCATTGTTGAAACCATTATAAATTATTCCATGCATATTAAGACCCACACCCTCACACAGGTCTACAGATGAGAGACAGATCCAGCAGCAGCAGCAGCTCCTGGGTGGAGTGAGCTGGCCCTGTGGCTGTAATTTGGTGAGTGCGTGTGCCCTAAAAAAAGGAACCGTTTGGCAGCTCCACTGTTGCCGACGAGCTTGGATGTGGTCTGGAGCTGCTCAGTTCTGCACAGGCGAGGGACTAACCCGAGCATGGAGGGGAAGAAGACTGAGAAATAACAACACAAGTGAGGTCCAGTCAGTGGGGACATGTGACCTGCAGGACCCAAACTGTGGCCAGAGGAGTCCTGGATGTGGCCCTGAGTATGCAGTAGGACTGAGTGGGCTACAATAACTGTCTCTAAACAAAGGCAACTTGTTGAAAACCAAAATGACAGATTCAGCACATTTTAGCAACAATGACAAGAACAAAGACAGGGCCAATTCAAACCGCTAAACAGAAACACTGGACTATTACAAGGTACTAGCAAGGGAAAATGTTATGGTCCTGAGTCCTCCACAAAGCAGACAATGGCGCAGTCCTTAGACACAGTTCAGACCTGGCTTTAGTTCTAGATGATCAAATGAAACAGAAAATGTACACCAAAATCCTCGAAGAGGTGCAAGTAACAGCAACTTAAAAGTGAAAAAAAGACATAGAACACTCAAATGGATATAAAAGTGAAAATAAAAAACTTTTAGTCAAAATTTCTACTTGCTGTTCTTAATTTCTTGCAGTTACGATAGCATATTATAGCAGATTCAGGGTCATACTTATCACTTTCATCCATGGGTTTCAGAAGGATAAAAAGGGCCATAGCAATTAGCAAATTAGCAAAAATTTAATACTTTGAATAGAAAATAAGTTCTCAAAATGTTGCATATGATAAGAAGCTGGAATCCTTGAATTTATTGCAGGGTATATTCGAGGACACTGATCATAATGAGTTGCCATATGTTTATATCTAGGATGACCAGACGTCCCTATTTACCCGGGACAGTCCCAATTTTAACTCCTGTGTCCCCTGTCCCATCAGTTTTATACAAACCAGTGTTTCGTCCCAGTTTTATACAAGAAATGCCCCAGGTGTCCCTATTTTTGACCAATTTGATCTAAACCAGGGCCATACTAAGATTAAACCAGAAGTCCATCAGATTATGACTGACACAAGAATGTACAATCTTACACGCTCTTTTCACAATTCTATATACCATCCCGATCAAGGTGTGTCCCAGCTTACAATTTTGAAAATCTGGTTACCCTATTTATGTCAGATGCCCCTCCTGTCTGATTCACCAGACATAGGAATCCTTGTTGAATGCTGTAAAAATAATGCTACAGTGAAAGAGCAGTAACCAACATAGTATAGCTACATATGACTCTAAAACATAGATCTGCTAAAACCACAGTCATTCAACACTTGTCATCTCAAGCTATGGTTTTAAACGCAACACTTAAGAAATAGTATAGACTTTACTTTTCACTGTAAACGGGGATATGTTATGGTAGCATTTAGAAGTGCCATAAATCAAGCTTAGAATGCAAAACCCCGTCTTTTAGCAGTGACAACAAAGTTTGAATTAATTTATGAGGTGGAGAGGCTGTAGATTCTAACTTTGTTGTGGTTTATGCCACATTCCTTTGCAGAGATTAGTGACATCTAGCGGCACAGTCTAACCATACAGTCTACATCAGCATCAGAGTGAGATTTTATTCACAACAAAAACTGAAAAACATGCACAGGAGAAAAAACATCTAAGATTAATGAATTGGCCAAGAGAAAATGGCAGACACTTAAAATATTTTATTTTTCTCATTATATTTGAAGTATTTTAGAATCTAGTTTTTGGCGAATAATAACTTAGCATTGACCTTTTTTTTTTACTGATTATAAATAAAAGACTATTACTTTAAATCTTGTTGTACTAATTTGGCACAGGTTAAAGGTTAAAGTTTGTTTCGCCTATCAGTGTAAAGTAAAATAGTTCATACAATTCCTTACCTTTTAAAATTAATTATGGAAACCAGACAATAGTCCTTTTGGGCATAGGAGTGTCTCGAAGCGTGCGTAAATCACATTGAGGGACAGCCGCCGTGCGTCCTGTAACCTCCTACTCCGCGGACAGTGCGCCACTCGCCCCCGCAGCTAAACTCTGGGTCCCCGTGCGTCTGGCTGTGTCGCTGGTCCAATCCGAGGAAGTGACTGTGCTGCGGGGTCGTGCCCAGAAAGTGAACAAGCCTGCCTTCTTTTCTCCCTTTCTCCCCTTTTTGGATGGAGCAGAGCCGAGCAGAGGAGGAGGGAAGGAGTATGATGGGAGAGGTTTGTAGAGCTAAGTGTGATCCTACTGAGCTGATAGGAAGAAAATCATAGAACGTGTGATTAGCAATTTTTCTAATTAGCGTCCACCCTCTGTAAACACCAAATTAGTAGCCTATAGTCTTTGTCGTGCTTACTTACCCCATTGGCCAGTTAAATACAGTCCCACAGACAGGCTACTGAACTTTGTTGGTTACAGTTAGGTCTAATAAAAATAGGCCTAGTTAAAAGCCATAGCTGAGTATTGACACTTTGTTTAGGACACACACAGACTTATGTTCATCCAGGCCCAATTTATCACGTTTCCACACTATTGAGCATTCAGAGATTAAAATCCACACCACATTTGGTTGCTGTGACATCACTTGAGCTTTAGTGTGTGTCGCTCACAGTTTTCTTTATAATTTTGGCTGTTGGCAGGATAAAGTGTTCTTTACTGACTCCCTGATTTCCTGTGCCTTCTGCCAGCGCCTGGAGAGAGAAACTGGGAGCTTGGCAAACTTCTCTCTGGGGCCAGGCCCAGCCTCAGCAGAAAAAGATCATACATCAAAAGACATCCATGCAATATTCTGCAAGTATATATTGTTTATTCAACATTATTTGCTATGTGTTTGCAGCCAAACATTATTTTCATAATTGCACATGTGGACAGTGTTTTATTGTTTGTATTGTAAAATGCAGAAAACATGCGTTACTTACTGCGAGTGGGCTGGAATCTCCAGAAACCTGACCTACTTGGCCTGGAGGAAGGCCTCCACCTTTTTGTTTTTGTGGAAGTGTTGTTCATTTGGCAGTAATATTCCACAGAATAGCATAAAATGGATAGCTCACCACTGAGTTCCAAAGTATGTTTATTTTTCCATGGAATTGTGCAGGTGACGGGCCAACTTCAATGTTGCTTTAACATTCTGAATTCACATTTAGTGTGTTTGTGTTTTGATTCTACTCCCAAAATTCACAAATTCACAAATAATAGACATAAAATAAATCAATTTTTAAGTGCATTCTGTTGGTTTGAACCTTTCATCTTGTCTCTTGCCTAACATCTGACGTCCGACTTGATCATTGGATTAGCCTGTTTACTTTTGGAAAAGTGGGTGTACCTAATATTGTGAGCAAAGAGTATATTTGCAGTATCCACAGAGGCAGTGAAGGCATGCAGACAGTGGTCCCCTGCAGGCTTGTTGGCGTGGGGCCGCAGTTGGATTTACTGATAACATTAAAGCTTTCTGTGCTTCCTCTCAGCATCTTTGTGTTACGTTTTCTTTCACTCGTTATTCCTCTGCCTCTGCCCGTCTATGCCTTACTGTGGTCGCCTTGATTATAATGTGTGTCTGTAGCTGTAGGGCTTGGCATTCAAATTAAACTCATTTTGTCCCGTGGGTGCTGAACCATGAGTGCGAGCACCTTTGAGATTAGTGCACCCACTTGTTAACACTTGCGTAGGTGCACCTTTAATCTGTCTATAAAGAGTGAAGGATTTTATTTTTGGTGACGTGGAACATAAATTAGGGACCCTGCATGGCCTGAAATGTGAAATTTTGAAGCTTAATATAACTGATGAATAAATACATCTTCTACAATTTACTGCAATCCATAAAACAAAATCAATATTAAATTTGATATCTAATCTGATTTTGGGATACATCATCTTTTAATTAATATATATATATATATATATATATATATATATATATATATATATATATATATATATATATATATATAGATAGATAGATAGATAGATAGATAGATATAGATATATATATTATTATTATTTTTATTTATTTTTTAATACATTTTATTTACTTATCTGAAAGGTACATGCAAAAGCAAAGCATTATTTCGAAAGTTTTGAGAACTTGCAGTGCAATTTTTGTGACCTACAGCGTAAAACATTATAATAATTGCTTAAAATAAAATATACAGATGAATTAAGAATATTGCTAAACACATCTAAATACACCTCTAAATGATAGAATGTGCCATTTGAAGCACATGTTCTCAAGAGAGGATTCAAATATAAGACACAAGATGTAAAAGATCCATTATAGAAAAATAAGATATAGTTTTTATATAACGTGTAAATGACTTGCTTCATGTGTCTTTCCCACAATCTTTCTAATACTTTAATTTGTGATGCATTCTTAAGCTGCCTATCTGCGCGTTCCCAGTTTGTTTTGCTTTTATCGGCCAATGTCCCCTCTCCTTTAATAACAAATACAGGAAGTCACTGTCACTCATGTGTGCACCATTCGCTGGGACAAAAAGCATTGCACATTCTACCACATAAATGTAACACTTGTCACAGAGATCCTAAACATCTGCAGTGAAAAATATCACCTCATAAAATATGTGAGTGGTAGTTATGAGTGACAATGACAAAGCATTGGGTGAATTTTGGACATTCAAGTAAGGAAAGGTTATACGGTTTAAGGGAATAGGAAATAGTTTGTGAGTGCCTCGAAGCGTATGTGTGCCAAACTCCTGTATAAAGGGAATGTGTTGGTTCTTAGACAGTAATGTGGCATTTGCAAAATGACTGTACAATTATGGAGACGGTACACCACATGCACAGAAAGACTGAGAGCACCCGTATAACATGTCATTACACGCCCAGGCCGAGAGGGGAGGCAACGCGATTCAGCTTCACAATGTACATCATGCCAATATAAAGGGCCAGGGGTCTTATTTATAAAACTTTTCTTGGAATTCTGAGTTTAAGTATTTGGACAGACAAAACTCTAAACTTGCTCTATTCTTTTCTCTGGGTGCAGATCTGCTACTGCCTCATCTCAGAAAATGTAAGATTAATTCAAAGTTTACAGACGGAGCGATATGGCAAAAGATAAATAAATATGCAACTAAAATCTCATATTGAATAATTGCTATTTTATATTTTCTTTTTTAAAAATGGCTTTCAGTATTGATTACATAATTACACTGATTACATGATCACGAGAGATTCAATCAGTTCCATTTAACACAAAAATACCCCAATTTATTCTTCTCTATTCAAAATTTAAACTGTGCTCCAAAACAAATTAGCTGTTTAAAAAAATCCAACCATACAATTGACTGAATCTCGATCTCTCTTTTAATATTCTTTTAGCTCCCCTACCGTACTGCATCACCCCGTGTCAAGTTGTCTCGTGGTCCTCTGATCCTCAGCTGTTGAACTTTTGTGGTACTTACAAAACATACTGCAGTATCTACTTATGATTGAAATAGACAAATCTATTAGTTTTGTGTATATTTTGTGTATACTATACTGTAATTGGTCAATATTTCCTTGTCAATATTTCTACTACAGCGTCTCCAGAGCCTGTTGTCTATATTGTACTAAAACCATTCTTGCTAATGATTTTCAACCCAGTTCAAGTTCAGCCACTGAAGTATATTATAGTTTACCTCAACTGTGACTGCTGAGTGAATAAGTACAGAGATGTTTCTTCCTGCTTGTAAGTTGCAATCACCGTTTTGCTTTAATTACCACAGGAAATTTAGCATTTAGTCTTTTTGATCAGACAGAGGTGACTTCACTTTAAAATGAGCACAATTGCTCTCACTTGCATCAGCTTGAATCCTCTGCACATTTATGCAAGTGCACTGGTGTTTATTTTTTCTAGCCTCGTCAAGGGTGAGAAGGTTTGGATCCAAGATGGCGACGGAACAATTGGTTCATTGTTACATTTTAATTAACTTAACAGCAGTCAGTCAGTTTACATAAGTGACAGACATTGAAAAGACTCTGGGATGCCATTTTGTCACTATGGTTGTCTTGGGTTAAAGGGTCCACAGCACGCTATTCTCTCATCTGTGTTATTGTTATTGTTATGTGTTACATTTTTTCATTCACACCTGTTTAACACACAAACCTGTTTAACACCACAACCTGAAAACTACCACTATATGATATCATGAGGTGGAACAGAGCATTTTGAGCTTTGGACAGAGCTGTAGACAGATGTGTTACTCATACATGTGTGAATGAAACAAAATACAACTCCAGGTATGTTTTTGAGGAGGTAACAGCATTCTATCATGGCTTAAAGCTCACTAGAGTATTTTTTTGTATAACATAGGACCTCTAAACAATTCAATGGCTTTAGTTCCCATAGTATAAAAACAACTTCAACAAAAAAGCAGCCATTACTCCAGAGTGCACTTTCTTTTTTGCCTCTGTGATTCACGTCTAGTTACTTGTCTCATGTTGCTCTAATCAGCTTACCGGCCTTCCCAGAACAGTCTCTATATTGTACAAAGTTCCTTGGCTTTTCTGTCCCCTCAAACATCACTTTTTTCCCAAATGCCCCCACTGCTAACCCAAATAATTACTCCCACTCCTCTACATGTATCCCAGCCCAGGCCAGTCACGCATATACTCTCCAACACAATTACTGAATGTGATCCTACCCTGCGTGACACAATACGCTTTACATTGGGAGGCCATCTGTACATCTGTAGGGATCCATGTGAAAATATGTGAGTTTCACACAATAGTTACTGATGGGTGTTTATTTTGGCGAGCATCTGGTCATACAAGAGTGGTACAGGTTTATGTTTGACTTCCTGACAGGCTTCACATATTCCAACAATGGCTTTTTGGTCTAAATGAAAACAACTATACAGCTATAAGACGAATCAATGTAGACTTAATATTACATGTAGACCCATAATCCATAGAATTTAGTAAATGTTCCTGAACTAGTGTTTTATATCTGCTGGTGTAACTGTTGACAAGTCTTACTTTTACTAGGCCTATATAGAATCCATTGAAGAGTAAACATGAAGCCAGGAAGACTTTATTTTTCAAAGATGTAACAATGTGATGGGTTTTTTTTTATTATTATACTTTTTACCTCTAAACCTAACCTCTGCTAGTGACGAATATGTGTATTATATCATCTGGAGTGCACATGTACAATACTTTATAAAAACACTACTTTGACTTTAATGACATTGCAGTTAAAGATCCAATATTACTATCCTAGATTTTTGTTTCATTCAACTTTTGTTTGGAGAGTTTGGAAATTTCAGGGCTGAAATGATCCAAATAAGTCTAGTGAAGGTGTATGGAGTTTTTTAAAAAAGCTTTTCCTGTATTACCACATATGAAAAGGTGGAACAAAGTGTTTTCTGTTTGAGAGAAGAACTCAAGTTTTGTGTGTTAAACATGTGTGAATTAAACAAAAGAAAACAGAATCAACAAAATCAACATTATAACAGATCAGAAAACAATATGGGCCTTATAGTTTTTAATAGCCTTTACACTACTAATGTTTACCATTATATCCCATTTGTGGAACTAGGACCAGTCCTTTGGCATCAGTGAGGCAACTGAAAGCGTTTTGAGGGATTTTATCCACGTCAATCTGGTTGTTTTCAATGTGGACGGAGGCCAGGGTGGTTCCTGAGTTTCGAGGATGGCACACTCCCCACTTGTTCACCAGCCTAAGGAACATATAGAAAAGTAAGCTCCTAATTGCATGTTCCATTGCTTATGTTTAAAGGTAATTTTATTATGCAGTGTGTTGTAATAATAGTAACCATTTTTTAAACAAAAAGGCATCTGCAGAGCTAAATGCAAATGACTATCGGACTGACGTATACTTGTATTCTTGCTGCATTATAAAAAAATCTCTTATTAAAAGTGCACTGTGTAACTTTGCTGTTGGAGGGTACTCAACCTGCTTATCTCCATGCTGATGTAATTGCTTTATCTGAAATGTTTCAGAATATGGCATTAAGCCTTTCTATCAGCATGGAGATACCAGGTCAATTTATAGGTTAGATCTGTGAATAGGCAATCACAGTCAGATTGCCTGTTTTTCCTCTGTATTTTTTAGCAATAAAGCCACCTGTGACTGAATAAGTGTAAGGTAGATCTGTTTAATGTCATATTCATTTTTAAGCAGAGCAATGACATGTCCATAGAAAAAAGGTGATGGGCCCCCAAATAAAAAGTTACACAGTGCACTTTTAACTAACTCATTCACCTGATCTGGTTGTTATCCAGCCTGAGTACTCGCAGGTTCTTGAACTGCCTCACACTTCGGGGGATCTCCTTCAGACTGTTGTTGTCCAATAGCAGCTCACCAAGGGACCGGTATGTGCCCACAAACGAGTGACGCTCCACCCCCTGGTTCCCCAAAGCATTATGGGAAAGATGCAGCGAGGCCAGCCCGGGGCGCATGTGTCTGAAGGTGAAGGCGGGGATACTGATGATGTTGTTGTGGTGCAGGGTCACTTTAAGCAGTGAGCGGGGCAGACCAGCAGGTACGGAGGTGAACTTGTTAAAGGACAGGTCCAGGGACTCAAGGGAACTGAAAGCATACACAAATGACAGGTTAAAGGTGCACTATGAAACTTTTTCTAATCGATGGTTGTAACCCTTCTCCATGGGAATTTTTGTTTTGATTTAATGTTCTTCAGTATAGCATTAAACATATTTCTCACAGACTATAAACATATATAAATAGACTTCTACAGTATGATATCTCCATGGAGACAACAGGTAGTGCTACCAGGCCAGGTTACAGGTCAGATATGCGGTGAACCAACCTATATCACTGTTACAGCGCATGGTTTTCAAGGCATTTTTTAGCATTTAAAACATTTCAGTAAATGCATGATCATTTAAAGCCATAGTGTGGAACATGTCCAGCAAAGCAATAATATCTCCATGGAGAAAAGCAGGTGGTGCACCACAAGGAACACTGTTAATACAGCTAGGACCACTACTATTACTGCCATTACTAATATTTTACATTCATCTATGTCCAATTTCATATTGCATCTTTTCATCTGTACACATTTTTTACACATCTATGCATCCTGTCAAATGAATATGTTTAACTTTGAATTTGTTAAATGTGCTGGTAAATATATAAGGATAACTGTTCAAACTTGTTGTAATAATATTCTATATCTGCCTCTGTTTTATTATTTTGTCTTTGCTTTTTTTTTGCAGTCTTTCTTCCAGAGTGGTGCTGCTGGGAGTTCAGAGTGAAAGGCTAAACTGTGGGGAGAGCAGCAGGAGATGTGCCCGGGGCTGCACTGCACAAAGGCATGGAGGCCTCAATTGTGAGTGAAAGATACAGGTCCAAGGCTCAGAACTGAGTTACAACTATATAAAAAACAACAGCTGTTTTAAATTTGCTGCATGAAGTAAGGCAAACAAGGTCAAAATGTATTTTGGTGAAATGCCAATTCAATATATAGAATATTAGAAACCAGGGAGAGAAAACCAGAGCAGTTGCACTAATAGCAAAACAAAGACCATACTTAAAGCTACTTGCAGCTTGGATGAATTATGTAATAATGATTAAGGATAACTAGTGGAATCCAGGCATAATTTGGAAAAGAAAATGCAAGCAACAAAGGGGTTTTACCATAGGCCATAAAACATATTGTAAAAGACCTATAATAAACAAAAAGCTTGATATTTATGGCATAAATGCCTCCTCATACTGATATACCATGGGAATATGTGCTGTGAGCTCATCCAAATGTTAATATCCTATGGTCATGAGGCGTGTGAAGCTGCATTTTAATTTTGACCACAATATGCCATTTGTTTGTTACTCAGCCTGAGGATCACACCCACAGCCTGTTGTCATAAAGAAGTTTATAAAAGAGACATGTTTTTTTCTTTCTAATTGCAGACATCATTAATCAATTTAAGCTCTAGTCATCCTTATAGTTACATTATGGGCCAGTGCACAGTGGTGTGTCTGTCTCACACTCACTCAGATATTTCCATCTGTGCCAGAGTAAAGTGCCAACACAGCTCAGACTGCTGTCCCTGCACTGTGGAAATCCAACCAGAACCACAGGTAATACTGCCATAGGAGACCATGCCAATGGACTAGACAGGCTAAGACTGTAATGGAAATAAGAATATGATGAATGATTAATGAAGAAAAGAGCATTTGTCACCTCTTTAGGAGAGGCTATGAATACACAGTAGTAGTATAATCGTGGTTGGTTCTGCGGTCTTTTATAAAGTAATTGTGGGGAGATTTCCTCAGGTATATTTACAGCCTATGCAACTTTTCTGGTAAAGGGTCCACCACCTGCTTGTTTGCATGACAACATACATCATATATAAAATCCTCCAGCTAAGGTAATACTAAGCCTATTAACAAGATCTAGAGATGGGTACCCAAGCATGGCAGTGCAGTGCTCACTGCTCCTGAAGAGATGCCCCAGCGGCATTGAACGATGGGTCAAATGCAGAGGACAAATTTCCCTACTGGGACACTAAGGTGTACCTCAACCTTAAGTGTATTATCTGGAATGATCCAAACTACATACTTATTTGTTTCTATCAGGTGGTCTTATCAGGTGAAGTTACATGTGAGATCTATGAAGATACAACCCCAGTCACAATAAGAATGATTGTTTTTGATGGTATTTGTGAGCAATAATACACCAGTGATTACTTTAAATAAATTCAAGAGTTAAAAGTTTAATACCACACTGTGGAACATTCAATGCTAACAGGCCAGTAGCAGACTCTCTCATAGAAAAGTTACTAGTGTATCTTTAAATGACCTTAACCAGCGGCATGAAATTTACTGAAAGACTCTTAGCTCCTAGAAATGCACTTAGAAAGCCTCTCCTAGCTATAGCCAAAACAACTTCCAACCACTGTAAACCATACAATATGAATAATTAATTTTGAACATAAAAAAATCTCAGTTTTTATTTTTACATGGTGTGTCCTGAAAACCAAAACCTGATCAGGTTGTGACATAATATACATCCTTAGATCTCTGAACCTCCAGTCAGTCCCTTTGAGCCTGCAGCCAAAATCATTACGTTGTATAAATCTGACAGAGAAGGGAGAAAAAAAAAAAAATCCCGTTAAATTCTCTGGAGTAAGTGACAGGGCTGAATGAGGTTGAGCTGTAGTACATACAAAATACATACAAAATATATAAGACAATCATTTACACAGTTTTTACTCAACTATTGTTTCTTATTCTAATTTCTTCTATGTAGAAATAAACCTGTCATGACACCAGATTTTGAAGTGCGTTATATTGCTGAAGTAAACATAGACAATAAACTATAATATTGAAACCAAATCATGATCCACAAAAATTCCAAATTTACAATAGTGTTTAATGTTACTGAGCTGTATAAATAAACAGCAGATACCAGCGCTTAAGTAATTTTAGTTCACTTAAGTAATTTTAGTTCATAAGTCTACAGCTCAAATCTTATATTGCAGAAAGAATAACCAAAAATCTCCTACTGGTACAATAAATGAATACTGACCCTCAAAAGTTATTGTTCCATTCATAATATATTGAAGTAGATATACTAATTATCAGACAGACTTATGTAGAATTGAACCCACAATATGCTTGCATTAACTGAAGTACTTAAATGTAACTATTTGATTGGGACAAATAGAGATGTTGGAATGGGTTGTTAAGAACTGGGGATGGTTGGAAGTGTGTGGTTCCTTAAGTAGTCTAAGTATACGCCTGATAGAAGAATAACATTTATTATGGGGCTACTGAATAATGTGCACATGATACCTGCATTGAAATGGTGAACAGATGTGTTGGTTGTTGCATAACTCAGTGAAAATATATTCCCAGATGACACATATTAAGTGCTGCCTCTCAGCCAAAAGACTGACCATGTTGGAGCTTTAATTAGGCCCCAAATCCCCAGACACAGTGGGAGGCAACTGTAACATTGACTAAGTACTTGGCTCAACCCGACCGCACTGATTTGAACTCTACAGGCCCATTTTATCTGATGCACTTTATTTGTCAATTTGCCTGAAATAAAAGATTTTCTGTTAGATCTATTTTTCAGTAGCAATTGAAACTGCTGACTTTAAAAGGTGCATTGTGTAACTTTTCATCAAATTTTTTTCTCCATGGAGATAATATTGCTTTGTCTGGAAGGTGTCACAGTACAGTATTAAACCTTTCTTTCTTCATGAAGACAAAACTAGACATAGAAGTTACAGCTTAGATATATGGAGAGGCAACCCCATTAACAGATTGCATGTCTTTTTCTGTATTTTTGAGCTAGATAACCACTTGTAACTGAATAAATGTTAAGTAGAGCTGTTTAATACCATACTATGGAACATTTCAGGCAGAGAAATGACATATCCATAGAAACAAGTAGTTGACGGACCCACAACCAAAAAGCTACATAATGTCCCTTTAATGACTTTTATCTTGAGTTTAACAGCTTGAATGACTAAAGGAAAGACCAAGACACAAGTACACTTGAGTAATTTGAGGACAAGAATTGCCTTGGAAAACAAGGTTGGTGAAACGTTTATATATATTATAAAAGTGTATTAACTGTCTTTTTTTACTTAAAAAAGACAGAACACATTTAGGTATCACTATCTTTAGTCTGTATGAAAGTCTGTATAAAAATATTTGTTCACTTTTGGATGCACATGAACTAAACTGTAGAAGCAGTGCTCCCTTTTCATTTTTGTTCCCTTCTTTCCCACTGTGGTTCAAAATGGTGCCTGAGAAAAAGGGAAATCACACTGGAATTCACTATATTTAAACAAGGCACACTTTGACACACTCCCTCCCTCCTCACACCATCACTTTGTGTCTATGTGGTCTAGAGTAACAACATACTGTATCTATACATGAGTCATGACACTGGTATGTGAAATTCAGTCAGGCAGATGAAATGTCGTTTTTGCACTTGCTAAAGGAAAGTGAACTGTCCATAAGATGTCATGTTTAAAAGGAGGCTTATGTAAGACTGACAGTCAAAAAAATTAGACAAAGCTATCCCCTTGTGGTGGTGAAATGTAATTGTACATATATTAAATGAACCTAAACTAAAGAGCATACGAGTATTTTGAGTATTTCCCATCTTGGTCCTATTTATTGTTTGTTTATGTGCATTATATAATTTATGTCTTTATAAAGGTTAGACTGGGCTTTGTTTTTTAAAAAGTACCTCAATACGTCATGGCCATAATAAAATTGTGGCCTTATCAAAAATATGTGTAAGATTGCTGAAAGATGGTTTGCCATATAGGGAAAATATGAATTTCCACAATCAGATAAGTTTGTGGTCTCTGTTTAAGGTTGGATTCTTGGCTACCCCCTTGTGGTAATTCAATGAAGTGTAAGTGTATTACAGTCATACCGTGCATGCCTCCAAGTGTTGAGAGCAATGCCTCCCTGGTTCAGCAGGTTGTGGCTCATGTCCAACACTGTCAGATGGACACAGCCCCTCAGTGCCTCCTCTCTCATCTCTTCAATGAGATTTTCACTGATCTCCAACTCCTAAATAAAAAACAAAACTCACAGCTCTCATCTGCAAATTCTGAAAGACTTGTGTTTATGTTGCAGAGCTTTTTACCTGCAGAGTGGGAGGGAGGCCCAGGGGGAAGGATCTAAAGCGGTTATTGTCAAGCTGAAGATGAAGGAGGTTCACCAAAGGTTTAAAAGCCTGAGGTGAGACTGCGCCCTCATGAAGCAAGTTTTTCTCCATCTCCAGACTCACAAGGTTAGTCAGACCTAAAATTAGGATAACCTTTTAAGAATTAGATATATCAACAAATAATATTATTGTGTCTGGTGAAATAGAAGGGTCTTGTTGGTGGTCTGGTGCATGTGCCAAACAGCAATAACATGGCAACCCCAGAAAGTAATAGCCAAAAGAAAAGGTTATAGTATAAGTGTCTTTGATCTGTATATGTGTTTCAGTGGTGGAATGTAATGAAGTAAAAGTACTGTACTGAAGTTAAAAAAAAAAGGTATCTGTACTTTACTTAAGTACATTTTACAATGGATACTGTTTTACTTGATTACATTTGAGAGCAGGTATCTGTAATTTCTACCTCACTACATTTTTCAACAGATTTGAATAGTAAAAGTCATTTTTATCATTATTTGAGACATGCAGAAAACTTTTTACTCTTTCAGTACATTTTTAAACAGGTACCGTACTTTAATACTTTTACTTAAGTACGGTAGATTTTTCCACATGATACTTTTACTTGAGTACCGTATTTTTGGTTAGGTTATTGGTGTTCTGGTGCTTTTATTATTAAAACTGAGTACTTTTTCCACCACTGATGACTTTTCATTGAACTACAGAACTCGCCATTAACTAAAATATATCATGTGCCTATAGCATATTTCATAAGATAAAAGTAAGAGAACTTTTATTTCATAATTGCATACCTCTAAAACTGTAAGGGGTGATTTTCATGAGTCTGTTGTTGTTCATTGATAACATTTCCAAAGATGCTGGAAGTCCTGGTATTGTGGTGAGCAGGTTATCATCCAGGTTTAACATCTTTAGAAGAGTCAAATTCTGCCACATAGATTGAGATCCAGAGGAAAAATAACAGTTAGTTATAAAATAGACTTAATGCATACGTGTCTCTAAGTCCATAATTGGCATCCAGAGTTCACCAGAGCACACCAAAATGAGAAAATCTCTTCCACGTCATCCATCCTGTATTTTTAGTCACAGTGGTTTGTGTGTCAAGGAAAGCATTGCTTTTTTACTCTATTATTATAGCAACATGTGTAAGTGCAATGCGAATATTTTCAAGTTTTTATTTTTCCCATGAATGGTTATACAAATTTTGTAATTTTGATCTTGCTGTTAAAATGTGGCATGGCAGTCAATTGGTCACAGTGTGGTAGGGCAGCCTCACTGTGGCCAGTGGTAGTATATTTAGATAAGCTAATGCAGATCTAAACACTCGTAAATTACCAAAATGATATGGTGTAAGACTGTTTTTATTTTAATTAATGGAGTAGTATCTTATAAAATGTCCTTTAAAATCAGAGTCAGGGCAACACATCAACATCTAAATAAAATATATTCTGAATTACATCCATAGCCTCCAGAGGGCAGTGTTCTAAGGTTCATATACTGTTTGCATTTCTCTTACTCACAGAAAGGGGACGTTGACTCAATGCCTCATCCACTAAATCGTTTTTGCTCAGGTCCAGTGTCTCTAAGTTTGTCAGGCCAGAGAAGTCTTTTGGCAGTATGCTTTTGAGTCTATTACCTATGAAAAGACATGAAATGAAAAGACATATGAAAAGAAATGATAATGTATAAAACACAGGAACACTTATTTTATCTTTACACAGCACTAGAACCTTAAAAAATAAATGTGCACATCTCAAGAATCTCCAGGCTCCTCGTAGGTACACAATAGTACTAATCTCCAACCTGTCATGTCCATTTTGGTGATGTCCAGGCTCTTGATGTTTGGCAGCTGAATTAGGCCCAGGCCTCTGCAGCTGATCTCCCCATCAGCAGCAACACACTCTGTAGGCTGCAGGGGTGATCCCAAACTGCTGTGGGTCTCTGTTTGGTTATTGGGGACCTCTGTAGGTTCTTCCTCCTCCTCTTCCTCTTCTTCTTCTTCTTCCTCCTCCTCCTCCTCTTCTTCTTCTTCTTCTTCTTCTTCCTCCTCCTCCTTGGTAACACAGAAATACACACATGGCTAAATTAAAGTTCACTTATAGCAAACATATTTTATCATCAAAACAAAAACCTCTTCCTCCTCCTCATCGTCGTCATCATCATCATCATCATCGTCATCATCATCATCATCATCATCCTCTTCCTCCTCTTCCTCCTCTACCTTAGTTTTGCTCTTGTCCATAAGGCGTAGTTTTTCAGTGTACAGGTCTCTCAGTGCAGACATGAGTCCACTGGTGGCATTTTCAGTTTTACTTCTCCATCCCTTCAGAGGTTGTGTCAGGCCTAACTGCACAAAGCGAAAGAGCCACATAAAGCCACAAAAGTATTAACATCACATAGAGAAAATAAAAAGAAATGTTCTTTGCTGATGTTGGTGAGCATTCATACTATTCGATAGGCTGTAGATGCCACAGTCTCAACTTGCTTTCTGCCCCATGTGCCTCTCTTACTTCTGATGATCTCCTTGAAGTTTGGCCCCCATTGATGATTCTTTTGGTCCATTTCAAAGTCCTTGTCTTTATGTGATTCTTGTTGTAAAACAAAATTAGTTTGTTTAATAATGTCATTGTAAATGATTATTTCATGCACTGCTTTTCCCAAATGTATTATGAAATTTCTTGGTCAGTACAGAAAATCAGTTGTGAAACAAAACATACAGCAATACTATGCTTTTGCAGCATGTTACACTGCAGTTTATTTTGCTTAAATTGCTTAAATTAAAATTTGCTTAGATTAAAATAACATTAAATGTTATGTTACAGCATGTTACATTCTTTTCATATTCTTGATACAATGTTCACTATAATGAAGTAGAAACAATAAATCATTCTTACCTACTGTGTCATTTGTTTCCAAAACGTACGCAGCCAGAGCTCTTATTTTGCCCCTGTTTGAAAGAATTGGTGCTTTTTCCACTTTGTTTGACTCATGTGATCCTAGTACTCTTGTATCACCATCTGTCCAAATGTCAAAAGCTTGTCCTGTCAAAATCCAACAATTTACAGAAATGACAATAATCCACATAGTTTCCATCTGCAGAAAAATATATTTGTGCAGTTGTTTTAAAACTGTAAATCCCCAGCTTCTGAGATGCTGAGAAAAAGTAGGCTTGTGGTGCACCTGCCTCCGCTTCTGCGAGGTGAAAGTGCAGACAGGGCTAGACCTGAGAATGGAATAAGTAGGAGGCGGAGAAGTAAAAAAATAAACTCTCACGTTGGTAATAAAAGGCCTTACTAGGCTGTGTCTGCCTGCTCCCTGTGATTCCTCCATATTTTCCCATCCTTTCATAACAGACTGCTCACCCTGCACTGGGATGTGTGCAAAACAACTTGTTTATTGAAATTAATATATTTTTACAGATAGTATTACTGAAGAGATGCCTGGCTGGCATACTATTTTTGAAATATTGAATTTACAATTTCTTTGCTACAACAACCACTTGGTTGTGCACCAAAAATGCATATCAATAGATACAATACCTTTATGTAATGGCAATGTTAGTTCCAAAAGTTTTTCTAAGTTTTTTAAATTTGTAATTGCATATACATACACACACACACACAAGTATTTTTGTATTACATGTGGGTGATTAATACAATGAGTGATGTGGTGTTAGTTTTAAGAAAGTGCCTGTCATGTGGTTGATAAATGCTGATATCATTCAATTACAAGGTTGGTACAAAGTTCAGACCAGTGTCCAGCATGTCTGGCCACAGTCCAGTGACATCTATGTATGAAGTTAAATACAAGCACTCAAAACATGAGGGTGTCTGGACACACAATCAGCCTCACACATACAAAGTGCATACACATGTAGTCTAAAAGAACTGTACAAGTGCCAAACAGAACAGGTGCCCCAGGCCAATGTGGCGACGGCTGGGATTTTCACTTACTGGTGAAATCTGCCAACAGCTCCTTTATTTGTTTTGTAACCACACAAACACACGCTAGATCTGTCAAATCTGTCATATGTAAGGTTCCAGGCAACATCGACAAAGATACTGAAACAGTAATTTTAAGGCCACAAATACAGGGAATTGAGTATTAAATGTAAAGCAAAAATACAACAGTTTAAACACTGTTCCCATTACCAGATACTGGTCTTTAATAATTATGCAGGAACATTACTGCAAAACAAGACAAACACAAGAGGTTGAGGGGTATTATTTTATTCACACCACAAATAGAAATGTGTAGTTTGGAATGTTAGTAATTTTTTGTCAGCCACTGGTCCTGGCAGAGAAGAAAACTGTTGCAGATGAGACAGTAACATTTCATATCTATGTGGTTGAATACATCAGTGAATAGAACTTGAAGAGGAATGCTGCAGTGTTTTCAAAAGGTGGCTACAGTTTTTTCTTCACACACAGAGCTATAATCACCACTACACATGACTTTCCAAAAACAATAAGAACCGTTTAAAGTCTTTGTAGTTTTGCATTAACAAGACGGGAATATAGCTATATATTATAAGCTATTAAGCAAGTAAAATGTAACTTCAGTTTGCAAAGGTCTGACGCACAGCATTAGCAATGTATTTGGCACTGATGCCATACAGGTCCAGGAGCTCCTGAGGTTTTCCACTTCGTGGTACACCAGTCACTGCCAACCGGGTAACAATTATACCAGGTTCAGTGGCGACAGCAGACAGGACAGCCTCTCCTAGACCACCTGGAACAAGAGATAAATACGGGACATTACAAATGAATATCTATACTTATGGAATGGAAACCTTCTGGTTTCCTAGACAAATGCACATCAACGGCTGTTATGCAATAATTCTTACCCTCTTTGTAGTGGTCTTCTACAGTAATAATATGCCCTCTTGTTGCTTTAGCACTGGACACAATTGTGCCAGCATCCAGAGGTTTAATGGTGAATGGGTCAATTACACGAATATTTTTCCCTAGGAAATGAAAACATTAACTTTTACACATAAAAGTGAAGCCACAAAGATGAGCCATTATAGACATTTATGCATGGTTTACACTAGAGGGCAGCATTAGTCTACCTTCACTGGCCAGGATGTCAGCAGCAGCCAAGGCTTCATGGAGAGTGACCCCAGCGCCAATCACTGTGACGCAATCACTGTCAGACTGCCTCACCACCTGAGAGGAGAAACAAATGCTATTTTTCAGTAGTTTTGCTTTTTATGATTTATATGCATCTTTTAACCAACTCAAGTTATACCTTTGCTACTCCTATTTCCAGCTTTTCATCTGGAGAATAAATAACAGGAGTGTCTGGTCTGCTGGTACGGATGAAGCAAATACCCTGAGAAGCAGCAATAAAATGTAATAAAAAACATTAGTAACTAAACTTAATCTCTCAATAATAATGACAACAAACCTGTGTGTTAGCAGCAAGTTCCACCGCCCTTTCTGTGGACACTCCATCACTGGGGTAGAACACAGTACATGTTGGGATTGCCCTGAACATAGCCAAATCTTCAAGTGCCATTTGAGATGGACCATCCTCTCCTAAAATGGAAAGAAAGTTAGCACAAATGGTTAATGACAATTGGAATATATGCAAAACTTTGACTTTCAACATCATACCGATAGAAACACCACAGTGGGAGCCGACCAGATTCACATTTGTTTGCGATATGGCACCCATTCGAATCTGGTCATAAGCTCTAGACAGAAAAGCTGCAAAGGTGCTGGCAAATGCAACTGTACGGTCTCGTGTGGCACAGCCAATGGCCACTCCCACCTGCAGCAAGAAAAATGTAAACATCTGCACCATGTTTAACAAGTTTCATTTCTACTGGGTGAAAATGTGCGCACCATGTTCTGTTCAGCGATGAAGCATTCAATGTAGCGGTCAGGAAATGCCTTTTTGAACGTCTCTGAGAAAGTGGAGTTTTTGGTATCACCATCCAGGGCCACCACTCTTTGGCTAGCCTGACCCAATCTGGCCAGAGCAACCCCATAGGCACGTCTTGTGGAAATCTAAAAAGACCAAAAACACACATTTCGCACATGTTACTGTGCTCCATGAACTGACCCCATTACACACTAGATTCAGATGCGTTTACTTTTGAGTCTTATTCACAAGCACCACACATGATTCATACAAAGTACGCACCATACGCCAAGTAAGTCTAATAGCTGATTGGTAAACATATTTCTATGACAACACACTTCAAGCAGACAGACCTATGAATATGCATGCAGATGCTTGCTTCCTGCAAGCACAGTGTTCTTGGGAGTCAATGTTCATTTATGTCAACCTAACTAGTGGCAATGTGAAAATGACTTAAAATCAAAACTTTATCCACCTACTGATCACAAAGATGCTTTGATTAAAAAAAAAAAGAACAGTACCTTGTCTCCTTTTTTGTAAGATGGGGGTGAGGGAAGAGTGATTGGTTGAGAGAGGTCAACCGGGGCTGCATCATCAGCTGGTAACTGAGGGCAGAGGGTTTTGTTTGGGACTTGGATAAGAGCCTGGAGGTCATTCAGAAGGTCATCAACACGGTCTTTAGGGATTGGCTTTCCATGCCAGTTCTCAAGATCTTCAATATCTAAAAAGACAACATTACAAAGTCAAACACAGTGGTTGTAGCATGTGCTTACGTAGGTAAATATGAACATGCTATGATTTGAAAGCTCAAAACCTCAAATTTAGTTGCTGTATTCATTTTAGATGAAGACAAAACTGCCAAGTTAGTGTAGGCCAAAGTAAACCATCAATAATTCAGACTACACATACAATGTATGATTGGGTACAGGTCTGGGAATTGGGTAGAGGATGCTTTTAGGTCCAGTATCAACTGGTTTTAACTCTGGCAACCCAAAGCCAAATAACAAAATAATTATTAGCAAATTAATAAAATCTGTATGACCAGAACATTCTCGTCTCGTCTCATCTTTCACATCTAAATCATTAGATCTTTTAACAAGAGACATACTTTTGAGCCCTTTGCCTTTGAAGGTCTTGGCTACAATGCATGTAGGTTTATCTTTCACTTGTTGAGCCTGCCAGAAAGCCTTGCACAGCTCCTCCACATCATGTCCATCTACAACATATGTATTCCACCTACACAAACAAAGACAGCATGTAACCTGGAGTTAAAGTGCATGAACAATCATAGTGCTGGAGAGATTTTAGTTTTATAGGACATTTGAATTGTTAAAAAAAAAAAAACAGGCAGCAATACAAAGACTAACCCAAAAGCTTCACAGCGCTTGCGGTATGTCTCCATGTCATGCTGAAGAGGAGCAGGTTCACTTTGTCCCAGACGGTTCACGTCCATTATAGCCACCAGGTTGTCCAATTTGTAGTAAGACGCAAAGGCCATGGCCTCCCACACAGAGCCCTCTGAACACTCACCATCACCCAGCATGCAGTAGACACGGTAGCTACAAAAGAAATTATTTTACACATGTTCCTAACTATAATAGAAATAAATAAACTAGACAGGTGAATTGAAACCAAATGTTCTTCCTAATGGGATCCTCAACATTCTAGGTTTAAACTGACAAGAGCACTGCATTATATTCTCCTGACAGGATTTACTAATTTAAGCAAACATTGTCACAGGAGATACAACACTGATAAAAGCAAATATCTATATGCTTCAACTAACTCCAGCTACAGTTCAAATAAACTGAAACTAATAAAACAAAAATGATTGGACTTTCCTTGCGACTTCTGAAACATACCTCGACTTGTCAAAGTATTTCCCAGTATAGGCCATACCACATGCAGCTCCAAGACCTTGGCCTAGAGATCCAGTAGCTACATCCACAAAGGCGAGTTTCTTTTAAAAAAAAAAAAAAAAAAAATTATTATGTATATATATATATATATATATATATATATATATATATATATATTTTAGATAGATATATAGATATAGATATAGATAGATAGATGAGTGTTGCATTTATGCCTCTAGAAACATAGGTGTTTTTATATACATACTGGCGTAGGATGTCCCTCCAAATCACAGTCAATCTTACGAAGATTTAGAAGGTCTGCCTCCTTTACGTATCCAGCCTCAGCCCAGGCAGCATACAGGACCGGTGCAGCATGACCCTGTTGACAGAAAAAGGGGATCCTCAGTTTTTCATTTGACAAACTTTACAGTTAATTAATGGCAGAATGTACTAACCTTTGACAGTACAAAGCGGTCATTGCATTGGTTGCGGGGATCGTCAGCTTTGTAGCGCATGGTGTGAAAAAACAGTACGGACATGAGCTCGGCAGCGCTGCAGCATGATGTAGGGTGACTAAAAAGACAAAATATATACATCAGATACAAGAAGCAAATCTAATTCTCATGCTACATTTTTCATGCAGTTGGCCAATCTTTTAGCATTACAAATATCAGTCTCTAAGGCCTACTCCTATCTTTGAGGTATTTTGTCAATAGATTGTAATGTCGATGTGCTCAAACCACAAAGTCAATAGTCAAACGTGTGCAAAGGTTAGGTGCCACTTAGTGGTCTCAGTATTGTAAGGGACATGTTTAGAAACTCAACATTACCACACAGAGCAAATGAAGTTCCTGAAAATTTTAATTGTGCCATTATTTACACATGCTAATTTCACAACAATTAGTTTAGTTTTTTTAAATTGAACCTCAAACCAAATGCATAGTTTACCAGTTTGCCTCTGTTGAGAGATCTGCTGCTGAAAAAATAAAATTTGTTTACAAAATGACAAAGGGAGGAAAACACAAAGGTGCACACTGACAGAAGTAAAAAGTAATCTTACAAAACACTGTCTTGTTTTGATCTTTGTAAAGAAGACAAAGCTATTGTTCATTCATTCAGTCATTCATGCTGTATGCACTTCCTTCTTCAAAGAAGGAAATATTAATTAGCCAATTGTTGATGTGATACAACTGTCACATTGTCTTAGAGGGCTATATATTAAATCCATTGCTTCAAGAAAAAAAAAAAAAAAAAAAAAAAAACTCTATTATGCATAATCTTTTGTCAAAGTGACACCCCGTTGGCTATTCTCAAATTATAATTTGGTTTTGATCACTGGTAAGAAATTACTTTAACAATTCCCATTTGCACTTCTTAAATTTAGGAGCAATTCCTCTTGGAAGTTATGTGAATTTAGATCAAGAGAGAAACGGATATGTTACGAACAATTGCTACATACTTTTAAGACTAACTGTATGTTACCAATACAATAATATTCTGCTACCGCAGTTTAATTGAAAGCATTGACCCAACCACGCGAGTTGGTCAAGGCATCTGGGCCATCATGTGATTTGCAGTAAACAGTCAATTTTCATCAGTATGCCATGATGTTTAATTACATAAGAACCTTCTACTTAATACACTCTTCTATTTGGCGTTGCATTCAGTTGGACACTAATTTGTTGAGCTGAAGAGGAATCCATTATGAATTACCTTTTGAATCAAACTTTCTGTACATTCTCGAGTTTCATCGCGAGATAATCTGCAACACGTGCACATGGCCAAGGGGTGAAGCACGCGTACTACTCTATTCATTGATTTAAAGCGCACTTTATACATGGGTTTATAGTATATTCATACGTGAACTGTTTGGTTTGTATGGATCCTTATAACTTCATTCATTGTGCTTAGTCATGATGAATCGCTTACCCAGAGTTGGAGGCGCACGTCGCTTTTATGGAGTTGATCCTTAGCTTGTTAGCGACGTCTTTCAGCCCCTGCAGAGTTTTCTCATCGGGTTTATGGTAGCTAGTCATGATGGTTGAGTTGATCCACAGACAGTAGCACTTACTTAAAACTGTACTTTGGCTAATCTACACGCCCAGAAGCTTGACAGTGCTGTTGTTGAAATGCTGCGCCACAACGCTGCAAGCTACTCGAGTACAGCAGTGAAGGAGGGACAGGAAACAAGGAAGTGGACTTATGTCCCCGCGCAGCCACGCCCACTAAGGAGAGTCATTGGAGGAATGGAGTTGTGCACGTTACGCATGATATAATTATGGACGTTTCTCTATCAAAAACAAACAATGGGACTAAGATTTTTAATGGATTATTGAAGCACGCAAGTTGACGCAACGTAATTTACTCAGTGACATACCCTGTATTCTGCTCTTGACCAAGCAGATCTAACAGGCTAAAAACAGGGGATAGAAGCTATATGGGACCACTTCCATATAAAAGGCTGATAATCATTGATGACAGTCATAGGCAGCGCAAATAGCTCTAAGTTGTTATAGGGTTGGGTATATTATAGATCCATAGGTTAGGTATAGTCAATCAGGCCTTGATTTTGCTGTCACTGTCTCTTTAACAACAGTGATGGGAGGGAGCCAGAGATTTTGCTCTCTCATCCTTACGCAGGAAAATACGAGAGTGAGACTGGAGAGGAACATTTTTAATTAAAAAAAACACCATATGCTTATAGGCCTAATAGTTTTGTTCATTTAAATTGTCTAATGTTGAAAGGAATGATGATGCAAACCACTCTTCACTCTGTAAATAAATACATCTAATTATTATTATTTTTTATTGTAAACAAAACGCATGCACACCTGTGCGATAGACGTTTCAGTTGCAATATTAAGTAAGCCTGTTGTCAAAAATCTAAATTTCAGGGAAAATATTTCAAACACTTCCTCATTTCACACAGGTTACTCAACCACTTATGGCTCAACTGTTTCCTCTTCATAAAGTTCCTGAAAGTACACGATTGCATTAGAAAAAACACCACAGGTACAGTCATCCTAATTATAATAAAGTGTTAACTATATAATTATACCTTTAATTTTTCCTTGGCCTCAACCCTTTCATCAGATGTAACCAGATCTTTATCAAGCCTCTCCAAATTTGGCAAAAGCATCACTATATTTATACGGTACTCTGTAGATTCCACCACAGGGTTTTCTGAAAGCACTAATATTTGCAGGGATTTTGAGATGTGCCTCAGGCTCTGAATGGCATTCTCATCTTCAACCTTGTTGCCTCTGCATAAACAAAAGTGGTCAACATAAACACACAATATAATGATTAAAAATTTATATTGAGCAAAATAAATTTGAATTCTGACAATGTTTTTTTTAATTACCTGACATTGAGGTACTGAAGACACGTCATGTTAAAGTTAAGGCCATCCAAAGTTTTTATTTGGTTATCTCTTAAGTGCAGAGTTTGAAGTCTCTCTAACTTCTCCATTCCTCCCAAATGCTTAATAACATTTTTGGCCTTAACAAGAGATCAAAAGAGCAGATGATAATTTCCACCAAACACAAACTACAATTGAGTAGCAAATAGAAGACTTTACCATGTACAGGTGACGTAAATTTGGCAAATTAATTCCTTCAGTTGTTTCCATTTGGTTTCCTCTCAGCTCTAATGTAGTCAGATTGGCAAAACGACCATCAAGACATGATAGCCTTTTAATTCTGTTACCTATAAGACATCACACATAAAATCATACATGCCTACACTATACATATTAATAAGTGGCATATTAAACTGTGCTGACCTATGAGATTGAGGGTTTCTAAAGAAGAGGGCCCAACAAGGTCATCCATGTCTGTCAGTATATTCATAGCCACATTGAGCCACTGAAGGAATTTGAGTTGTGCAAAAGGCTGTCTCCTGAAAGACTGTATTTCATTATTGTCTGCCTGCAAAAGAAATTATCTTCTATGATTGAGGGACAGTTAATGGCACTACTGAAGAATACCTGCCTTAAGCCAAAGCAGCTGTGTCAGTGATGCTAAAGGTGATAGGTCACTGAGACGGTTGTTTGACAAATCCAGGAAGCGAATGTGAATAAAGTTGCTGATTGCAGAGATGTCACTCAGTCCCCTGCAGAAAATAAATGGCACTGACAGGTAAAGTTATGTCATAAAATAACAATGACATTACTGTAGCATATCCTTACAGTAAGCCTACCTTTCCTTTAGGTCCAGTTTTATAAAAGCATGAGCTAAACCATTTCCAGTTTTGCAAAGTAATGAAAGGCCTTCTTGTATGTCCTCTTGGGTTAAGCACTGAATCAGTTCCTATTAATGAATCAGAAGTGGAAACATATTTCTTTAAATTGACAAACGATCAGTTGACAAATGCTAGGAGTGAGGCAATTGGACCCATTAAGCTAAACATTTGTGCTGAACAAAACAAAACAAAACCGAAAAAAAAGGAAAAATATTAGCCTCCTAAACAAGGAAACCATACCACAAAGTAACTTCAGCCTATCCGAAGTTACTGAAGCAGCGTTACGCACCTGGCTTACTTCTCCAGTCTTCTCCCTTGTCAGTCCATCCTCCTCATCTGACCGAACTGCGTCTTCCTCTACATCAGACATGTTTGCACTTTTCCCAAACCTGGGTTGGCTAGTTCAGATTGCTTCGATGACCGAATGATTGTTATAGGCCTGATAAAGTGCGAGTAGCGTGTGAAAAACTTTTACTGTAGCGTCGTGTTGTGGTGTCCATGGAAACGACGCAAGTCACGCATCCGCTTAAGATACGAAGTGATGCGCAACAGTTTAATGCTGGAGAGAGGATGTTTTATTTGAGAAGACACATTTGAAAAACTTGCAATTTTAGTGTATTTTATTACATGATATTTAAGAGACAACCCAGGGAGAATCCACAACAATTACATTTTTATTAGGCCTAGCTTTTTTGCTTTCATCTTTATTTCTATATGCGCACGAATCTTAGTTAATTCCTAGAGGATCCAGTTACAAATGCATGTTTTTGTTTTTTTTTTTGTTTTTTTTTTTTTTTACAGAATGCATATCATTCACTGAAAGAATGTTGATATGTCATCACACAAAATCTAACACCACTGTGCATAGAAACAAACTGTATAAAAATTAAGGTTAGATAAAGTTACATTTTGCTATATTGACAATAAATGCTCCGAAAAGCAACTGAGGAAGAAAAAACAATGTGCACACTGCTGCAAGAAATGTTCTAGCAAACTGAAATTATTGAGGTATCTAAACATGTTACAGTAAGTAATATTTGTTCCTTTGAGTTAAACTGCAAAGTCATGTGCAGGAAAACGTAGTGGTGGGGATTTAATCCACTTGCATATGGCCCACAACATGCCCTTAGTTCTCATTTCATTTCATGACTCAAGCACCAGAATGGGCTCCAGCTCCCTTCACTAATGAACACTTGATATAATCTTTCTCTTCTTAAAGTCAGGAGGTTGAAATCCATCTGTCGATGTCTATAAAGCATTGCAACAAGAGTAATTAGAGTAATGTTTTCAAAATGTTTTCACTAGAGAAAATTGTTGCTTACTTCTTTGCCAAGATTGAACTGTATTTGTTCCAGGTTTTGCTGAAGAAAAAAAACAAGTGAAAATTTACTCTTTTACCGTTGTTGTATTTTTCATATGCAGAAGACAGACAAACACATCTTACTTGCAAATAAACCTTACCTTATGAAGTTCAGAGAGCTGCTGGTGCCTGATGAGGGCCTCCTTGCTTGGAAACTGCCTTCGACAAAGTAAACATGCCAATTTAGACCAGTCAGTCATTTTACCTTCTCTCTCGTCTTTGGATCCTCCTTCTTCATCACTGTCAGCATCTCCATTGTAGGCTGGCACAAGACCCAGTTGTTGAACAGGTGAACTCTAAAAAAAACATTATAATAACAGTAAACATTAATAAGTCATTAATTTATATGAAAAAGTCCAAGTCCTCACTGCAGCTGTTTGCCTCATCTGATCCAGATTTATTTGAAGACGTTCTAACAGTGCCCCCTGCAGGAATCATAGAAAAGAGATAATTTCATTTGCAGAACTGTTGTTAAATGCAAGCGACCACTTCTGCTCCATGTACCTTCTTCTCCAGAACAGCATACCCAGCATCAGCACTAGCAGACTCCCTGAAGTCCTCTGAGCGGCCTCTTGTTTGCCCCGGGCCCAGAGTGCCAGACGATAAGCGCATGTTCTCCTTGTGTCTGTTCAGACTTTTGGCCCAGCGTTCCATATCTTTAGCTATCTAAAAAAGTAAATATACAAATATTCAAATTCAAACAATAGTGCATATTTTTGTTTCATACCCAGACTTAATAGAGGAGAGCCTGTTTATATTACAATATATTTCAATGAACAACTTTTGTGCATAGACTACCTGTTGTGCAGTTTTACTCTTATTTTTTTCCTTTTTATCCTTTGACTCTGTGTCAGCATTCCCAATCTTTGACTGGCCATCTGCAGGAATGTATGAGTGCTTTTCTCCATCCCAGTACATATATTGCTGAGTGTGAGGATTGTAATAATACTAAAAAAGTACAAATGTCACATCAGAAAAAATATTAATTAAGTTTATATTATTAGTTGCTTTAAGCAAATTTACCTGTGAATTTGGATCATAGTATAGTCCTGTGAGAGGATCATAATAGTACCCAGAGCTCTCATCATACTGGTAGGTTGACATGTTTGGGACAGCTGTTTTAAACAATAAAGCATATGATCAGAAAGGGCTATAGCCATAACCATACTAATGCCGGTACATATTTGTTACATACAGTTCTTTTCTTTTAACATTAGGTACCACAAGGCTAATGTTAATGAACAGCCTTGGTGTTGTACATAAGTTGTAATTTTAGTATTAAAGAGTGACCCTCACGGTATTGTTTAAGCTCATGTTCAGTTCCAGGAATAGCCGGCTGAATTGAAACTGTTGTCCCCACAATCTCACACTTTAAACAAATAAAAAATGCAATAATTACAAATTACAAAAAGCATCAATTGAGCTGAATTCAGACAAAACCTGGGTTGGTGTGGTGGCTGCTGAGATGGGAGTGCCCTGCGTGTGATTAAAAGGCTGTTGTCCCTCTGGGCTCACAGTTTCTAAGAATTAAGAAAGAATAAACACAAACAATATAGCCAGAATAAATAAAATTGCTATTACATGACATCTATAACATATTACATTACCAACCTGTGTAGTCTCCTGGTGTTTTGGTGGGCAGGGCAGTAGATCCAGTAATGCTATCTGACCCACTGAATGCTTCCTGGTTATATGTCACTGCTGCAGCCTGTTGAAACACCACTCCACTTGAACTACCACCAGGAACTGTTTGAGCAGTCTGAAAAGAAATAGCAAATACATTATCAAGTGAAGTGTACAGTTTAACTCTAGCAAAATTATTTTGAGTTTTAAATGGAACGTACTTGTGTCACAGCCCACTGTGCAGCAGCTATAGCTGTACTAGCCACGGTTGCAGCACTCACTTTGCTGCCATCCGATTGGAAAACATCACTAAAACACAAAAAGATCATGTATAAACTATAGCCTATTATATATACTATTAAATTTGAGACCGCTAGTGAACAACTTACAAATATTTTTTTAGCAAGCGGCATAGCAGTATATTATAGAACTGTGATACTGAATAGAAAGTTATGGAATATGTTTTTACCGTTTGGACCCTTTGGCAAACTCCACCACAATAGTCTTGCCATCAATTGAAAGAGATGGTAGTTGAGTCTGTAGAATTTGCAGTAACTGAGAAGCCTCCTAAATAGAAAAATAGATGTGCACCATTATTTTTATGTTTATATGTACAATTTGCCATTAGAGGTAAAATTACCACTATACTATATACTATACTTCTTACCACTATAGTTGACAGTTGTAGGAAGGCAAAGCCTCTGTTGAGATTGGTGTGCTTATCCTTGATCAAACGCACATTAGAAGCTGAAAGAGTCGCAAAAGGAGATAAAGCTAACAAGATTCCATCAACTGAAGTATGTGGTCCAAGGTTTCGGAGGATCAATGCTGGGGAAACACAGAATGATTGTTAAGGACCTTATAGGAATAAAATATGAACTTCAGAACATATTATATTTTCTTACTGTCATTGGCAGTATCTGTCTGCTGCTGTGCAGCTTGCCCTTGAGCAACAGAAAGGCCTGAGTTCTGGTAATGTACAGGCAAGGGCAGCAATCCCTGGACCCTACTATTGTGCAGTCCACCAACCAAGTCCTGCTGTAACTGGGGCAGCTTCAACTCCGCCTCTGCAATAATGTGACCCACTCTTATACTGCAGCATCAAAATAGAATATAGAGCTGAGACAATTATTAAACACCTGCTTTGGGAGCACAGCATTTGAAGCACTTCTCCCTCCGTTTAAAGTTTTGTACACCACACTGTCAGATCAAATCCAAATGTTAATAACCTGAATAAACACGTTTAATAATAAAAACATTAGACAATAGACAGGACCTTGTTGCAAAGCCAATCTTCGTTGGCACGTGGCTTCGGATCACTGTAGTGCATGGACACTCTCTGGCCCAGTATCAACAGCACTCCCTGCAAGAACAAGCAACAGAAGAAAAGCATAACATTAATTACAAGTTTAAATTCAACTGAAAAGGCGAGAGAGACCTCATCTCAGAAAAGATGACAGAGTGAGAGAGAAGGAATAGAGCTGTGAAGTCGACATAAAATTAGGAAACCACAATCAATAGAACTTCTTCCATCAGCTTTCAGCTTCTTTCATACTGAAATTATGTGTTTATCATAAAGAACAGCAATTTTTTAAAGGTGTGTGAGACCCCCTTTTGGAAAGACTCCATTTGCCACAATGAGGAACATAAAATCATAAAAGGAATTTATTGGTGACGCAAAAATTGAAGATTCACCAAGAAGCACATTGTGCTATCAGTCAAGTCCTTAGCTCCTCAAGTCGCCAGAGACTAAAATAGTGCACTTTTAAAAAAATGCATTTTGTCTGTTATTTAACTTTGATGGAGTGCTTATTGTGTCAGTTTGGACTAGGCATTACTCAATGAAAGATGATCTCTATTAAACTAGATGGCACTACCTACCTCACTTCTCAGAGCAATGTTTTGCCTTGTATCTCATATGTAGGTTAGGCTTACTATATGTGAGTGTCTGAGTATGAGAGTGACCTGGTTGGTCTCCATCCAGCGGGTGGCCTCCTGTATGAGATTAAACTCGACGAAGGCGAATCCTCGGCTCTGACCTGGACACCGCCCAGCGCCATGGTCACCAAATGACAACAACATAACAACAACGCAGTGCAGTTAGTGCCTCTGGTACAGCCTGGGATCATGACCCTGTGTCAGCGCTTATTAGACATAGCATCACATCCTCTGCTCCTTTTATGAATATGAAACCACCTCCAACTTAGAAACTGTGAAGAGTCTGAGGATGCAATGCCATGAATTTCAACAGGGTCATGGAAAGGGGGAAAAAAAGAAACCACCTCACTCCATTCTGAGTATGGGGACGTTAACAGTCTTTGAATGAAGCACACAAAATCTATAAACATAAAAACTATTACAACTTAAGCAGCTATTGTAAACTTTTAGTTTAAAATATAAAACAATAATTTCCCTTCTCTGATAGTATTCAGTATTCATCATCAAGATATTTCAGAAAATACAAATTTAACCAATGAAAAAAATAAAAAAAAAACGTTACTGCTGCATCTATTGTCCAGAGGCATGTGAGCCTGCACCTTAGTATCAATAGTATATTGATACATGGAGGGAAAGAAGACCAAGTCTCACCTGATGTCTTGTTTCTCATGAGGCGGACCTCTTTTGGCTGAATCCCCTGTTCCTGTAAATGTGCTTGGATCTATGAATAGACAAAAACATACACATCACCAGCATTATTGATATAAAAAGTAAATTTTACTCTCAAAAATACAGTGCTTTTAAAAAGACCGCTGTGACCACACTTACCTCTATGGTGGTAGCATTAGGTGGGAGCATACGAAGCATTACAATGTGGCTAGGTTTCTGGTTGTAGTCAAAATCTGTGCGATAGTCCTGATCCCTCGGTTCATCCAAGGAAGTGCAATACTCTTCTACCTCACCTGGGACACTCTGCAGATTTAGTTATACACATTAGTTCAAATTTGGTTCATTAATATTCACATGATGAGCATATGTGAATATGTCTAACCTTTAGCTTTTCACCGCTGAGAGGGAACCTGTCACCCCCACATTGCTTTTCTGCACTATAAAGGACCTGTTTGGTTACATGGCTCAAGATTTCATTGTCATTGTCAATGCAAGGATGCTCAAATGTCTTGTCTGATGTTACCCCATCTTGTTTTATTGAAATGCGAAGGTCTGGCTGAAACTCTGTCAACTCCTGTAAACAACCTTGTGAGAAGTTGCACACATCAACAGTTGGTCTATGCCTCGTAAAGCTCAAAAATCTGACCTCTATAGCCATGCTGTCAAACCCGGGTTCTTCATCTTCTTGTCCACAGTTTCTGTAGTCTTGGTCTAGTAAGTGAATTCTGGGTGCATTTCCATAGCGTCCCGCTCGATCACCACGCCCTCCTCTGGAGACACGGACAAAGACTGTCAAGTACCTTGACGAATGTTTCTTTTTCCATTATAACGCTTGGTTTACCTTCGCTCAGAGTCCATATTGTGGACCCGATTTGGACTATGTATGCGTCATGTGTCAGTCAACGTAATTACTCTGTAACAACATAGTACCAGATACTACATGTGCACAAGTACATAGCATGCATGGGAAAGTTGCAGAATGGATTTTAACGACACTTGTGACAGTAGCATGTTGTACCTGGACATATTAACAAAACAGCGATAAAGCACATGCATCTCAACCTCTGAGGCAGTAGAAAAGCGGTATTAGCAGGGAAGCTAAGTAGCATAGGCTATGCAAACTCGGCTAACCCTCAGCTACTTTATGTCTACAGATGTAATCTTAACTATAAGTTAACACAAGATCAGCACCACTCACCACTGTCACATTTTACATGTACAAGACATGGTCCGGGTGCTGTATTCATGAGTCCGAACTAAACACTGTTTTCTTTTTCTTGTTAAAGTGGAAAATGGCCACAGCGGCATGACATTTCAGAGTGGGCTGGACTGATACTTCTTGATCCTTGATCTCATTGGTAGTTTTGCGTGGTTATAACATTGCTATATGTTGAGTTAGCATGGCTGTATGTGTGAGATTTTGATTAAACTTGTATTATTTTGACTTTATTTGAAAGAGGGAGAGGTAGATAGAAATAATCTAAACCCAAGAAAAGCCACAGTTCAACCAAGTCACCCCAACCACGGTACCAACTGCACTTTCGTCACACAAAACAGGATACCCATTTCATATATACTTTCACTCAAAACTTGATGTTTAATTAGCAATGTTTAATAGGCTATTAAGGTTACATGTAATCATTTAGAAGACACAAAATTATCATAACAGCAGGATTAGTTAAAATGATTAAATTATACTAAGATTAGAAACATCAACCATATAAAGTGATAATTACACAATTACAGTTTAAAGGGGCAATGGAAAGTAGAATAAAAGGCAGACTTGAAACACATAAACATGTCCTTACAAGGCCTTGTAAGACATTCCATACAGAATTATAAGATATGCCTAAATTAAAAGGAATATTCATCAACTACATCACTTATGGTCTTACACATTTACACAACCAATCACTTGTATGCTCAAAAGGTCCTCAAATCTCATAAACCTGTCTGTGCCGCTGGCCATTCAGTAAAGTATATGTTCATCACTGAGGAAACTGTAAAGCCATGACCTCAAACTGGGCCATTTGGGTAACTTTGGGATGAACACAGGGAGTGCCAAAGGCTTTCCATGCATACCGAACATGGACAATTTGTTAATACACACAAAATATCACCTCACATTCACTGCATGCTGACCTGCACCAGAGAAAACAATCATACAACACCCACTCGCCTATTGTAAGTATATGCAATTATTTAAACATGGGAAGAAACATGTCATACAATCCACTTTAGGGACACCCCTGTACTGCGCCTGAGTCAGAACATGGACCTGTGGGAGCCAAGTCAATAATAAGGAGAAAGCACTCGTATAACTTTCATAGACACTGAAGTGAAAAAATACCCCACTTGTAATCATGAGTCCCTAACGTTAACTTTCTGACACTGCACTCAAGGCACTACATATAGGCGACATTGTGTAAGATACACTTATTGAGTTATTAAACCCCCTTTTTTCTGTTATTTAGGTCCCCATTGTCTTGGCCTGGTGAGGACCGTTAATCTTCATTCCCATCATGGCACACATAAACCCTTATTTATAACAACTTCTAATCACCCACTACCAACTTGTGTCACATACGCAGAGATCTACAAGTTTTGGTAGATGCAAATTGGCACAAAATCTACTTTTATCAATCTATTATAAGCCATGATGTATAAGCTTATTAAATCATTTAAAACCTGCATGAACATTCTGAGGTTAACTGGGTGATAAGAGATTGGGCAGGGTTCTCCTCAAAACATCATAAACTTTAGGTTGTCCTTGTGTTTGTGCTTGAGAGCAGTCCCATCTTCTCCTTATAACAGATTGCAGGCATTCTTCTTGTTGCGTTTCTTAGACACAAGGGCTGCTCTAGTTGCCAATTCAAAGACTTCCCTGACGCCTTCTTTGGTTTTGGCGGAACACTCCTGGTAACCATGAGCACCAATGCGGGTGGCCATCTCTCTGCCATCCTCCAGTTTGACTGGCTCCTAAATAAATATGGGAAAAGTTGATTAAACATAATTATAATAATATATCAGAAGAAGTTATACCAATGTAAAAAAAAAGAAAAAAAGAAAAAGTACCTGTTTCATTTTGGCAAGCTCTCGCCTGGTATGTTCATCATTACGCAGATCTTTTTTGTTACCCACAAGAATAATTGGAACGTTTGGACAAAAATGTTTTACCTCAGGGGTCCACTTCTCTGGAATATTTTCTGACAAATTAAAGAGTTATAATGTTTACAAAATGGCAACACTCTTAAATTTAACATGTATTTTGTTTAACATATGGTGGTATGGTGTACTACCTAAACTGTCAGGGCTGTCAACAGAGAAGCACATCAGAATGACATCTGTGTCAGGATAGGAGAGTGGTCTCAATCTGTCATAGTCCTCTTGACCAGCTGTATCCCACAAAGCTAACTCCACCTATAAATAACAAGAGGCATGCATTTTAGGAACATCTTTAGTAACAACACTGATAGCTCAATAGTTCTGGGCTATGAGGTCACTATGAGTGCCAGTATCACAATTTTACAACAAGAAAGTATTACTTGTACATTAAATAAACATAGATGTAAGCCTATGACCAAATGAGCAATGTGGATTGTGGATGCAATATGTTACCTGTTTCCCATCTACTTCGATGTCTGCCACATAGTTCTCAAACACAGTGGGGACGTAGACCTCAGGGAACTGGTCTTTACTGAAGACTATAAGCAAACAGGTCTTGCCACATGCTCCATCTCCAACTATTACTAATTTCTTCCTGATGGCAGCCATCTAGAACAAAGACATACAATGCTGAAGTTATAGTACAAATAAAGACAGTGGGGAACGTAATTCGAGTAATTCAGAATAACTTTGGAGCATATAAATGCCCTGCTCCACCTCAAACACGATGCTGAGAGAAGAACAGGATAGTGGACATTTAGTTTTAGGCTATATCGTAAGCATTATTATAATATTGTATACTTGTCATACACAACAATAGGGCTAGAGGACAGAGGCTACACCTACAATGCGCTCAAACAGCAGCATTACATGTGTGTGCTGTAAAACTCTAAGAGCTGTGCTATGGTCTCCGGGGCCTGTCAAACCAGCTAGCCAAAAAGCTACTCTCGGGTAGGTTTACTTCAGTAAACAACTTTATTTCTATCATTTGCTAATATTTTTATGGAATTACTTGAGCATAATACTAAAACATCATTTGGATGATAGTATTGTTCCAAAAATATACAGGTTTAACAGCTTTAAAAGTTTTTTCTCCATGATTACCGTGATATGTCCGCCGCCGCCTTTCTCTTCTTCCTGAACGACTTTCAAGCTCCTCCTACCGTACGTACGCGTGCGTGGCTACGTCAGTTGAAGATGTGTTCGTTTCATAGACCGTCTATGGTTCATTTGACAAATTATTATAATGTGCATGTTTCAGAGAGGGCATGATGAATAAGGCCTAAATTAAAAAAAGTAAGATGCTGTAGCAATTTCACACAAAATGATGTACAAACTATGGCAAAGAAGAGAAATCAATTTATTCAGTTGCAGTTCTGAACTGAACTGAAGAAGCAGCTTGGATTCGACTAAACAAACTTTTGTCTAGTCGACAAACTGATTTATCTCCTTTGTCATGGATTCTACCTGGACGACTGAGGGATTTTTCACATGTACAAACGATGTTTTTATTTATTTATTTTTCGTTTAAGTTCAGACAACTGAAAAAACATCTTTTGATTAAAAAAAAAAATGAACAGAAAAAATGAACCAGATCTATGAGAATATAACAGATGGGAAAATAAAAACAAACAAATATTAATGCATTCTTAAAGTTACAAGCATATAGGCCTATATAAAACATGCTGCAATGCACCTACAGATAATTAAGAAATATTCAAAATTTTGATCAGTTAGTCTATTTTAGACAGGTCAGCAATACAAGACCTCAGCTGGAACCTCAAGTGCATCTCTCCTCTCCTGTTACGCTGCTGTCATTTTATCACCCACAACACAGAGCAGACTCCAGTCCTGTACTATACACAAGGCTCATTCCTGCACTGTGCTGTTAGTTCAGTTGAGGTAAGTTTCCCTCATCATTTCTCAGGCTCAGGAATTACAGTGAGGGTATTCAGGTTTGTTTCTATGGTCACAGACGCACAATGGCTCTGATTGGCTGCTTTCCTCAGCCAGTCTTTTTGGCCTATTTCTTGATAGCAATGGGGCTGTTGCTGCGCTTGTAGAATAACACATAGGCTTGATTAGTCTGCAGTTGGTTCTCTGAAATTTGAGTCACACTGAAATGGGAGGGAAAATCATATCAGGGTATTAGTGCTTTGCTATCTCCATTTACAGGGAACTGAAGAAATGACAGCGTTTACCTGGAATCATTGTAGAAACACCATCCATTTTCATCTAAACAACAAGCTGTGTAGTGACCCATGTTGACAGTGCCAGAATGGTTACAGATTGCATATAAATTATATAGAACTGGACCTAAAGGAGAAAATGAAGTTCAGCCAAAAATCTGAAAATACATGTTAAATTCATAATGTATTTGAATATTAGGACTATGGGGAAAATGCATAATAATTATATCAAGATCAAAGATTAGCAATCAAAATGATACAATACTGGACTTTTACAGACTGTAAGACATGTCTTTGCTACAACTCTCTGTGAGTGATTACATCATATGCACTTTTACATCATAATTACGTTGAACAATCATTAGGATATATCAGTAATGACATGAGAACTGAAAAGTGCCACTGTAGTTACCTGCATCCACTGGTCCATAGGGTCCCAGATCCAGGTTTGTGAGGGGGAAGGACACCTGCACTGTGCTTTTACTGATACTCCACCGTGATGTCGTGAAACGATTCAAATCTGATCCAGCATGTTAAGGACAATAATATACGATACTAAAACAGACTGCAGACTTATGGGCTGTTCTTTAATTAGACAAAGGATATGGATTACAATGACTTGAGGAAACCTTTGAATAGACAACCTCTTTGTACTTTCTGTGCGTCTGTTGCATCTTTCACACATCTGAAAAAAAAAAAAAATTATTGGAACAATAAGAAATGGGGAAAATTGTCCTTGTGGCTCATTTGAAATACATTACAAATTTCCTTCATTAAGGATAACCATGACAGTCCATTTACCTCTAGCATGCCGATTACCAAGCATCTAGGTGATTGTTATAATAATTGTTATAATAATTAAGCACTATAATACTTATGAATTATGCATTTTGTTTTAGTTACATCTCTGAGCTCACAACCATCTACACCAACATTGTGCAACATTAAGTAAACTTACTGGTGAGTTCTCCTTATCCAGTCTCTCCTCTTGTGAGAAGAGATCTAGGCACTCTTTCAGGGTCACCTCACCTCCGGAGCTCCTCTTGGGAATGGGCAGAGACAGGTCACAGAAGACGTCAAACGTGTTGGAGTAGTGGGAACAAACGGAACAGTGCAGGGAGCTACGCAGCTGTCCCGCAAACAGATCTTTGAATGAATACATGGAAAATAAAAACAACAATTATGCATAGAACAAAACAGTTCGTCTTCAGATATGAAATAGCTATGTTCCTAGTCAGTATGAATGAATAAACATTGAGGTGTGTAAACGCAAACTGTGACAATTGTAACACATAGTACCAGACAGATAAACATTCACTGAATAAATATATTAATTCTGCAATGTATCGATTGGCAACTGATTAATACTGTCATTAACTCACCAACTATCCGGCTGTCATCTCTCTCCAAGTGCCTTTTCCACATGGAGGCTGCCTCTTCAGAGAGTCTTTGAATGAGACATGATGAGGAGTAGGAAGATCTTAGTACAAAATACCAATACATTTTTCACACTTGTACCTGAATCTGGCATATTTCTGCTCTGGCTCTTTAACTCGTCGAACATACATCCGGCGGTTGATTTCTGTGTGCAACTTATCCAGAAGGAACCTGAGAAACTCCTGAGCATCTTGTTGACTACAATTAATAGAATGTGATTAATTTAAAATACAGGTACATAAGAAATGCACTGAAAGGCTATAAATGTCACCTGTATCCGCTGAAGTAAGGCACTGCATCTTTAAAAACATTATAAAACTGTTTTGGGTTTACCACCCTGCCATCACTATTTACATCCCAAAGACCAGAGAGAACTTTGGCAAAAGCTGAAGGAAAAAAAGCAAAATATGAGGAAAAGATAAAAGATAAGGTCTTAAAAATATTGCATGTTATTCATACCTTCCATTAATTTAGCATCCTCTTTGCTAAACTTCTCATGTCTGTAGGACTTGAGAAGACAGTAGTCTCGAAGTCCATGTGTGTGAGACAGACACTGGACAATGGCATTCAAGAAGCACTATTTAAAAAAAAAAATAACACAATTATGACAATGAGTAGATATAAAATGTATGTCAAATTGGTGTCCTGTCCTGGTAAATACTCACCGTGTTTCCAATATTTCTCAAACCAACTCTGCCACTTCCCAAAGTGAGCGGGTCTTTCTAGAGAGATTACAATTTTACATATTTGTAACAACATAATTAGTTGTTTATATATATATATGTGTGTGTGTGTGTGTGTGTGTGCAGTGTAATATTTGTAAAAACCAATTTGCTTCCTCTGTCAGAATAGTAAATAAAAAAAGATCATAAGATATGATTGTGAGGATAAAATATGACAGAAAAACATTAGTATTTTATTTAGTACTTTATAACCTTGGGGTACAATTTTTGATTCTTTTCTATGTTTATCTTTCTGTATTAGCTCCACCTTCAGGGTGTGTATGGTGGTGCTACACCAGATTTAGCATCTTATGTCATTAACATAGACGGAGAGGCTAAAAGGAGGTCAGTCCCATGCACTCATCCTATTAGAAACCAAGAGTGCTGACATGTGCTGAAACACGTGTGAGGTACTCTACTCATCAATGTTTTACTAAAAAAGTTATCATTTGTGTAGGTTTACCTCTGTGTCGGCCACAAGTAGTAGTCCCATGAGTGAAGTATAGAGGACTGACTGAGATATGTCTGCTGTCTCTTGCCGTAACCCGTTCTGGGACACCAAAGTCCGACACAAGGCCTCACAAGAAGGCTCTACATTGACTCCACTGGATCCTGGCATTATCTAAAGTCTACCAATCTATGGCAGACCAGTACAACATAGTAGTTGTAGTAGTCTAGGTGACTGCTTTGAAACTTGAGACAGGTGTAGGTCCTGAGAGTCAAAGATGATCAGGATGCTGTGAGGAAGATTCTTCTTGAAAATGGTTTTGTTGATGATGAAACTTAGCTAGTGTTCAGGAGCCTAATATACAGGATCATAAAGACGACCTTTAAAGAAATTTAAAAAGACATATGTAGTCATGTGCTGAATAATACTGACTGAAGTGTTCTTATAGCATAGTAAGTGCATAAATAATGACTATTACTTCACAGACCTCAATAAAGCCTTACATTAAACAATCTTTAGAAGGGCAATTAGGACCCAGAACTTAGGCAGTGCAATTAGAATTGAGTGCTTTGTTATCTTTTAATATTCAGAAATAAACAAGTATAACCTCTGTACAATCTCACAGTTGGCATGGATTGTCTTCATCCTACATGCACAGGCCATCTGAATGCTGAAGCCCCTAAATGCCCTCCACTTGCTTTAGAATATATTTCTAGTCAAAAATGTCGTGCAAATAAACAATTTCCCACATATTTACATTTGATAAAGAGTGATGCAGACTCACCTGATCATTTGGTCACTCTATCTTTGAACAAACTGTCCCAAGCGGACTGTTCCCTTCACCTGCTGAGCTGTTAAAAATGCATAAGGCCCAGTGTTCAGTTTCAGAGTGTGTTCCTGTGGGCCGGCTCTGAAAGTCTACCTCTGCGCTGTGCCCTGTCACCGGTGTCAGGACGGGACAGGCAAAGACAAGGGGAGAGAGAAAGGGAGAGGAGGATAATCATCTGTAATCTTTTCTCTCTGGAGATCTATACTTAGGCTTTTCTTGGTGTACTTTTCCACAAGTACCTCACTATGACTTTTGGGTGTCACTTTATTTAAAAAAAAATGTATCAAAACAATGTACAATTTAAATTCATATTTCACAAGTTGTACCATCCCTATAACAGCTGCTTCAATGGATTGTGTTAACGCTCTAGAAAGAAAGCACAAACACTTAATATTCATGTGACTAAATAACATCACTACTTTGCATGATAATGATATACATTTTTTCACCTCAAGAAACATGTGGACAGAGTTTATGGGCATAGCAATAGAAACTATCAGTAAACCATATCAATGTCAATGCACAATCTTGTCAGATCTCAGAAGCTAAGCAAGGCCGGGCCGGGTTATTACTTGGATAGGAGACTGCTGGGAATACCAGGTGCTACAGTGAGACAGTTCACCCATATTGCCTATTATGAATGTGGTGTGCGTGAGTAATGAGTGGTCGTTGAGGAGGATGATGATGCAGATTGGCAGCCTCTCTTCCAGTTATCCCAGGGCTGCTATGGCTACAATAGTAGCTTACGAACACCAAATGTGGAGTGATTTGATAATACAAAGTAAAGCTTTTTGGTAGTCTTGAAATGCCCTACATAAATACAATGCATTATTACCAAAACACCTGTATATCACATTATCAGTAGATTGTACCATATAAAATGAATCTGCCTCCATTACAATGGAACAGTACAGGCCTATAAAACTCCAAAGTCACTCATATATAATCTCCAAAGTCACTCAAATGTAATCTCCAAAGTCCTCCCAAAAAAATCTTCCAAAGTCTCATTTGCCCACTCAGCGACTCGTTTGGGCAGCCATCTCTGTATCTGAACTGAGGCTCAGGTCAGCTATGTGACAGAGGGCGGGATCCGCATAGGAGGTAAACAGTGATTGGCCGGCATGAGCATTCCTGTCTCGTGATTGGATTATGGCCTGGCGCAGACTGGTGATCCACTGCTGTTTACTGAAGGAGTCGTTAGCCTGGAGGCTGTAGGAGTTTGCTTTAGCTCGCCCCCTGCTGCTCACTCGGAAACAGTTTTTCACTACAATAAAGACAAAACAAGGATTAACTGAGATATAAAACATTATTCTTAGTGTGTACATTCCATAGGTGTATGTTAAATTCATTGATTAGTGTATGCATTGTGATGAGTTTGTTCAGATGTTTACCTTTGTCGTTTCCCCCTGTGAAGGCCCCCCTGAAGGCCCCACCCCCTCCAGCCTCTCCATCAGGAATCTCCTCCAGGTTCAATAAGCTGTTGGGCAGAGGCTGTCTGTAAACACTGAAGGCTTGACCACCATCTTTGTCCTCTCCAGGTCTGGTCAGCACTAGCGCCAGCTCAAACAGGAAAACATGCAATCGCTAAAGGGCATAAAAATATATACATACATTTCATTTTCCCTTCACTGATGGAACAATCACGTTTGTTATACCAAAGGTTATGCAAATGGGATACCAGAAAGCATAAAACTGTTACTGAAGAAATGTAAAATATTTTATTTATTTTGGATGGACTATGTCTCTCGGCTGGCCTGGGAACGCCTCGGGGTCCCCCCGGAGGAGCTGGAGGACGTGTCTGGGGTGAAGGAAGTCTGGGAGTCCCTGCTTAGGCTGCTGCCCCCTAAGCAGGGACTCGGATAAGCGGATGAAAATGGATGTATAGATGGATTTATTAATATAGCGTAATTAAAATTCATTGCTGGTTTACTTTTACATTATTTGGTTAAATCTAATTTCCATTTCATATAAAGTGTCTGTTTAAATACACTTTAAAGCTACCTTATGTACGATTAGATTGGTCGACTCTCTCCTGTTGTATTCTCACATATCACCACTAGATGTTATCTGTGTTACTGCTGTCTGATAGTGCGCAGCTTTGGCCTGATAGACGAAGACCAGAGAGCACAGGTGAGCCTGAACAAACGCCAGGTGAAAGGAGTAGGAAACAGGTTTTACATCTGCAATCTACTAGTAAAAAAAAAAAATTTAATTAAAAAAACTTACAAATGGTAGCTTTAGAGCCATTGATCAAATTTACCGGGAGATCTAAACAAGAGTCCACTCAGGCTAGACTGTTTTAGGTAATCTGAATGATCTAAGTCTATGCCAAGGTTCACAAACAGAAGGTTGAGTTGTTACCTGTCCTTTGTTGTTCTTGAGCTCTCCATGGCAGTACAGGAAGCGTGACTGTTGGATTTCGGGTAACCTTTGGCTCTCCTCGAGGTAGTTCAGACCTCTTCTGTAAAACTGACACTCCGCCTCCCAGTTTTTTCATTCACCTCTGCCACAATGCTCTGGATCATCTCCAACTAGACCACAATTATGCATTTTAGTGAATAAGCATGTGTCCCTCCATTGTCATTAAATAAAAACCTTCATTCAAATAGAAAATCTGTCAAATATTTTCATTGTCCAACATTTCTTTAATAACCAACTGATCACTTGCTGCCCAATATAGCACAACACATTCTCTATATACTTCATCAATGTACTAATTAAAGTATGTAATATGGCATTACATGGTTATACCAATAAGGAATACTATTAAACTCACAGCATCAGGCAGCGTGTCTTCATCAGGGTGATCAGCGGGGGTGCACTTCTGAATCTCTTTTAATAGGAGCGGATATTTGACCAGTCTGCTCCGGGGCAGGTCCAAGAAGTTCCAGAGATCCAGTTTTCGGCTGAACGAGGATTCCTGGCACAGTCGCAAGAAGTGCTCCACTCGCTTCTCACTCTTCTTTTGGTCCAGTAAGGCTTTAGCTCCTACCTGGTTACAGCAGTAGGTCACATAGGCCTCCAGACAGGGGAACTGTCAAAGAAAGAGGCGCACACTTAGACATGTTAACACATGAAATACAAGATAATTTATGTGAATGTGGAGATACCCAGTCTAAAAGTGTAGGGCCAACTTCCCCCACAGTCTTCTCTGATCCTCTGAGACGCTCAAGTCTCTCTAAGAAATCTATAAAAGAGACACACTTTAAATAATACTACAAGAGGTTTGTAGGGTAAATGAAAGGTAAATTCTGACAAAATTTGAGACAGAACACTGTTCACTCTTTGATTGCATCATTAAGTGAGATTAGAAACAGTTCAATAATTGCTAATATATTTCAGAAAGAAAGAATGCCTATATGTTCACTACCTTTATTCAGATCCATTTATCAGTCTATAAATGTAAAAGTTTATATTGAAGTGAATATTGTTTTCTGCCACACTGCACGCATAAGTTCATTGCACAATAAGCACATTTTTAATATTGTGACTGTTAGGAGCTAACACTTGGACGCACACTTGTCACATTTAGCTAGTTAAGTGTTTATTTCCTTTTTTATTTCCTTTCACAATGATGAAGCAACACAAAAACTAACAAATAACATTTGATTTTAGATTATACCTTATCTCTTACCTTCATGAAGAGGAATAAGTGAGTCCAGAGTCCCAAAGATTTGTCCTAATTCACTTTCCGTCATAATGTCCAACTTCAACATGGGCTCATAGTAAACCTGCAAGTCAGAGTAAAAAATATGTTTAAAATGCATTCAGACTAAATATGGATTAGGTATGTGAAGAGATAAACCTTTTTAACCAGACTCAGGTCCTCAATGAGCTGCCTCTCTCCCTGTGTGAGCTCATAGATCACCTTTGACCATAGAGACCAGAAGAACACGTGAATAGACTTTAAATGAAAAGCACAAAAACACATACGCCACAAACATAAGGTGCTACATGAGCCCTGACAGCTGACTGTACCAGAGAGGAAGTGTGTTTCAGTGCCAGCTCACATCCTCTTTCAGAATCTGAACCATAGAGCACAACTCAGCTACACACTCAACTGACCTATATATCCAACCTAAATGGACGTACACTCCACAACATTATTGCTATAATGTTTTTTTATTTAAAAAATAAAAAATACGAACATAAATGTGAAAGTTAAAAGGTATATGTAATATGAACTAAGTTGTAATAAGGCGAAATATTTCTTGTCCCCCCCAAACCTGGCTTGAACCCAGACTCCTGACAAAGGGCAAAGCTACAACAATACTGAAAAGTAAAGCAGCAAGTACAGTATATTTGTTCTATTTTAGTTATAGTGTGAACTGAGTGATCTCCGGGTTTATTTATCTCACCCTTGCTGCCATAAAATTCACAGCTACTCTTATTGGAATTCTATATGAAAAACAGCAATGCAGAACTGATTACATTACCTTAAAATAAAAGTTAAGTTGCTATGATTAGTGAATAGTAGCTTAGTAAGAGTTTCAGAAACAGGTGGTGGCAGACAGTTTCTTTCATAAAGTTACTGATTCTGTTCTGGTTATGAGTCAAATAGCTGTGGCGACCTTTCACACAAAGTAAAAGCCCATACAAGAAGGCAGATTGTACACTTCACCTTTGCATATATTTCCAAAGAAACTCACTCTCACAAGAAATGACACTTGAGTCCATAGAGCAGCTTAGCTGTCTCCAAACACATGGACAACAATTGAAATTATCTAAAACTCTGGCACTTGCCCATGTTTTTCCACATAATACCGGAGAAAGGTTAAGTACCTCTTGTCGTTTGATCTCTTTGGCAGTGAGGTCGTGACTCTCCACAGTGTCACTCCAACACTGGCTGTTCCGTCTCCGTGGAAACGACGAGGCCTTGGACCGGGACCTCAGAGGTGCTGGGGCCAAAGGTCGAGCCTCAGTGCGAAAACTGATAGACCTCTGTCAAAACAGCATTGAATTTCAACGTGTTCAGTTTGTGTGTGGCTGTTCTACTTCAGTGAATGACTGTATGATGAACAACACTGGGATAAACAGGAAGCTGAATATACAGTAAATATTAGCAGTGCCCATTATTAGCTTAAATTTTCTGATAACTTATAAGCATTAGAATTTTATGCTGTACTGTAAATATCTTTATGTGAAATTGCAGGTCACCATAAATAATACAATTCTTACCGATATAGACTGTCCAATGCGTTTCAAGGCAGGAGTCTTGACCGGGGTTATTACACCTGTGAGGCTGTTGGACTTGGTCACTGGTTTAACCCTTTTGAAACTGGGCTCCTGAAATTAAAGAAAAGCAAAATAAGGAGTCAATTGGATAAAAACTATAGCAAGAAATTCCCGTCCTGTAAGTTTAATGATTTTTCACAGCAAATATAAAAAGTAAGTGTGCAAATAACTTTAGCAGTACAATAATATGTAATTCTGATTTTAACACAAACAGTCTCTCACCTCTGAATCTTTGGTTTGGTCTGTCATACTCTGGCCCTCCTTCTCCTCCTCTTCATCCTGATGGGACAGCAGCATTAGTGTGTAAAATAATTAAGTCAAAAAGGGCTGAAGCAAAAGTGCAGCAGAGAAAGATGTTGAGAGGGCGAGATGTTGCATGGTGCAGATCGCACATTTCCTGTGTGAGTGTTTCAAAGAGGAAGAAAGTTTGAACTCTTGTCTCTGTAGTAAAATACATGTACAAAAGCATGACTACCCGTTTCTGCTACTCACATACAAAACACCTATTGAAATATGGACAGAATACAGTAAATGGGAACATGAGAGAGAGAAATACATGACATACTAAGTTTAAATGTGCTGGAGTCACAGCTGAGGGGAAACTTGTAGAGATCTCTGCACTCAGCATTGTGGTTGCAAAGGTAAGGTTGACTAACTTCCGTTGTAGAAAAAAGACAAGTCAAAAATGTGTTACAAGCTGACATAGAGATCACGTACCTCTATGATCTGATTCACAGGAATGGGGCTCATGTGCTGTTTTCTTTTCTTCTGGAAAACACAGAAATATTTATAATTGTATTGAATAGCCCAAAACATCACAGTAATTTCATAGTAGTCTCAATTCTTGAAATTTGTGAATTGATCAGGACAAAACATCAAAACAAAAAACAAAACAAAAAAACAACTGAAATTAATGGATAATTAATAACTGGATGTTACTTACAGCTGCATGGTCAACTAGGATGGATGTCTCTCCTGGTGTGGATGTCCTAATCCACAATAAAACAAGCAAAGCATTTCAGAGTCATTTCAAAACATTTCAGACAAGACTAACAAGCCTTAGTTAATAATTCAGTCAAAACACATTTAGATGATTTGAATTGTTCTGTACATTGTAGTGGTTCTTTGTACTTAGAGATAGTGACACCACAAAGTAGATGAAAGGGAAAAGGCACTCACCAGGAAGTTCTCAAATCACCATTCGCCTCCACTTCCATGTTGGTCTTCAAAGCATTTTATATAAGATTTTCATAATCCCAAAATGAGGGAAAACCAGATAAACATTGAGTTTGTTCACAAGTTGTCAGACGCTTGTAAGGGTTCTTTCTCCTCCTTCCTCATCAGCCTAAACCACATCCTTCAGGGCTGTTCATCACTGTATATCCGCTTTTCTCAGGGCGGGTTTAAATGGACAGTTGTATAATATATTGCATGGTTTTCATATAGCACATTTTAAAATCAATTCAAAAACAAAAAACACAAGACATATTAGTTTTTTACGCTGCACTGACTAAATTGCTTTTTTTGTTGTTAAAAATGCTTAATTGTATTGTATTGAATATTTCTGCCATTTGCAAAAATGTAAAATTAGTCATGCAAGTTTGTCATGTTTAAAAGGGATTTCATCTGTGAATGTTACCTTTCACTGATAAGTACAGTGTACCCAATACAGAATACTATCCCCTCTGCTCAGTTTAAAATTAGTCAAAACAAAAACATAACATAGAAGCAGGTTGTTTAACATGTTTATTTATTTTCACTATCACACTAAGTGCTCCCATTTCCAGATACATCTCATTGCCTTGCTTATACAGTTTGCCATTTGGAGTTAAAAGTAAAAAGTTTATGCTCTACAAGGTGTGCACCAAAACTCTGCCTCGACCCTCAACACATAGAAAAATAAAATGGGAAATTAAACCAGTAAAAGGTTGTGCAAGAGCCCTGCCAGTGCCACAGAACCACTGCTGATGAGGTGGATATACAAGTGCTGCCGACTTAGATCAGGATTGAATTTGGGCTTTTAGCGCTTTAACGTGAAGATTTGGGCTGTGACAATGGCTATGGGACATTTCGGTTTATTTTGAAGATTTCTCTTAAACTTTGCATGTTAAAAACATCTTGGGCCTTGGGAAAAGAGGCAGGGGTAAAGTAAGGAAGAGAGCAAGTAGAAAAGGATAGAAGTGTGTGGATCAAAATATTCATTGCAGGTGTTTAAGGCCCACTGGGAGTGCAAGGACCATCTTTAAGAAACATGGAGACATCCTTTAGTCTGCTTTGTATGGTCCAGTTTACATGCCCTCTTCCTTACATAACCCATCACAGACTGGATCCTAACAAACACATCCTGGAGTCAGCTTTACTGGGGCTATGTACACTCGGGCACCGGTTCATACAAAACACAGGCCAAAAAAAACAAGATTTTGATCCCCAAGCTAACGCGGATCAACTCTCCCACCCGGATGTCCCGTCTGCCCCAGGACTGCCTGTGCCGCGCAGGTACCAGCAGCTCAGCGAATGGTGTATCTCACATAGGGAACCTCCACATCCTCCTCTGTCAGATCATTACAGCACAGCTCAAATACTAGCGCTTTGACATGCTTGCCTAGCCTCTTCTTAGACACTTTGGTCACAATCTCGGTCATCCTACAAAAGACAAGCAAAGCATATATTTGTTAAACAGAGACTAATGTTAACATGGCAAGGTGACAGTATGTAAATGTAATACTCACGGTAGTGCCAGTCTCTCTTTGAGTTTGGCAGCAGGCATAAAGAAGGAATAGAGCATAGACACTCCCTGAGAAAGCATGGTAATCTCCAACTTGTGCTCGTTCTAAAGATAAATAGAAAATCAGGTTAAAAGCCACGAGATATAACAGATCATTAATGTTATATCATGAACATACTTTAAAATAGTCCAAGAACTGCTGGAGTGTCATCTCTTCTCCATTTGGCTGCACTCCTGTGACTTCAAAGCGATCCCACAAAGACCATTCAATTTCATAGTACTTAAAAAAACAAATAAAAATTTAGAAAATTTCCTTCTAAGCATTTTGACCAATGGCAGTGGATTTGAAGAGTACACATTTGCAGTGGGTGCTAACCTTGTGTTTGGGAGCAGCAATGGGCTCTGAGAAACCGAAGAAAGGCAAGGCCAGGTTCATGAAGCCATTTTTGTAGGACTCCAGCTTCTTGTGTCCTTGAACAATCTTTAAGAGCTCCAAACATACCAGACCTACAACTGCAGCGGTGGTTGTGGCAATGGCAGGAATGATCTTGCCAGCAATCAATTTACTCTGAAAAGAACAGTGGCATTTATAAATCAAAAGGAGACATGCAAGACCTGCACGTTATAGTGGAAGGCCACTAAGAGGCGTCTCAGCTCTCAGTTAACAAAGGCAGACTCGTTTTTTGCTGTTTTACACCAATATAATGGATTACAAAAGCAAAAGGTATAATAATCTAGTAGTTTAATAGTTTTATACTAAACATCCCACAAGTCATTTGTGCTTCAAGTCCACCATGGATCTTACCTTGTGCCTGTCTGCAGGAGGAATGTCATAGTTTTCTGCTCTCAGATTTGATGCTGCCACAATGAAGTCCATATGGAAGTTTGTGTCATCATCCTGAAAAACAAACCAGCAGCACACAGACATGAGGCATGGTTGGTTGACAACAGGAAATGTAATTAAAACAAAGAAAAGGTGTACCTTCTCAAAGTCAATAGGGGACAGTTTTATTTTGAAAGTCTCTGCAGTCGGCAATTGCGCTTTCAACTCCTCAAATCTTGAGTCATCTGAAGCAGAAAACAAAGTTTCAAAATATGGCCTAGAATAAATAAGGGCTGTTGTGATTTTTGCAGGTTTTGGTCTTACCAACTGAAGAATTGCTGTTCTGTAGTTCTTGATCAGAAACATGAATTTTGACACCTGATCTAGGAGTAAACACTGGCACTTTGATGTCCTGCAGGATTTTGACTACACCAGCCCTATCCGTGCTGCCCTGGATCCCATATATTTGAGCATGCAGGTTTGCTGCTGCCATTACGTAGTCCATGTGGAGGTCCTAGACAAAGGACAATGCTATTATTACCTTTTACTGACAGACCTGCACTCTTTGTTTCAAAAATATAAGCTTACATTGCTAGTGCTGAATTCCAGAGGATGTGGGCATCTCTTGGGTCCAGACCAGAAGGGTGCACCAGAGCTAGTGAGCTGAAATTCAAAAGATTCAGTTCATTCTGATGGTATTCAATTCAAACAATGGACCACCTGCTTCATATTAACTAAATACAGACTTGTGCTCCTCAGCACACACTGAACCAATCAATGTGAGAAGGTGAATTGAACTCATTTACACCCTGGATGCATCAGTATTAGCATGGCTGAATCATCATAGGAGACTGACTATATCCCAATATTACTGTCAAAGTAGATTGACATAAGGAGGACCTGACCTCAGGATTTACCTGATTTGGAGGGAAGTTGTGTAGCAGCTGTTGGATGTTGTTGTTATACTGGCATTGCCAATGGTTGCGAGCCCAGGCCACACAGTCTACCCAGCTGTGAGGTCGGTCAGTGATCAGTGTCTTGTGAACAGCCTCCAGTACCTCCACAGGCTGGGCACCTGGAAGTTTTAGAGTTCGCTCCATGAACTTAGGATCCCTGAAAAGACCAAAAATATTCAGCACACAAGATTTCAGCTGGCATCCAGCATAATTTCTCCACATACGTGAGGTATTGCATGGCATTTTCTGATGGTTGTTTGAACAGTCCTTCAAATTCATCCCGTGCCCACTGAAAGAGCCAAAAAAAAAAAACTGTTACAAAAGCCCCACTGAGTCTTCTGCCACATGCTATGCATGTTTTCTGACCTGTAAGGTGTGTTCAATGGCATTGGGGAAGTTCTTGAGGGTACAGATGGGGATAGACTTTTCAGGGGGGTCCTGACTGGAGCTGTAGGACTCTGTGAGGAACGGGATGACTACCTGGACATTTCCTTTAGTGCCCAGAGTCCCAGACTCAAGCAGAGGCTTACGGTAGTAAACACATCGTCTATCCATATACATACCTACAGAATATTCAAAACAATCACAGAGACTAAAAGGTATAATTCACTCTTACATTTTAAATGTAAAATCCCTTACGAGCATCAACATTATCAAGAGCATTGGCAACTCCATCCAGATTCTCAAAGAAGTCATCGTCATAGACCCTCTCTGTGTCTGGGCCCACTCTGTTCTGGTGACCTGTGATCTTGATGGAGGGGTTCATTTGCTTCACGGCTGCAGCAGCTGTGTCGCTCTTCATTTTCTGTCATAACAGGAAAGGTGTAGAGCTTAGGAGATATGGTCATCACATGAAAACCATCTTTATTTCACACACTGACTTACTGTCACATCAGCAGGTCTGAAGAGGAACTGTCTGTTCAGGTTGGACTTTTCAATGGTGTCCATGTCTGTCACTATGACCTCACCTTCTCCACATGCCAGTCCAATCATAGCAAAGTTCTTCAACAATTCACAGCCAATGGCACCAGCTCCAACCTGGCATATTACAAACCCTGCATTTTAGTGACAGCTTTCTGTCACAAAAAATATGAACAGCTGAGGCCTACCAGGAAGTACCGCTGTTTGGCAAGAGTATCCTGCATCTTTGAGCCAAAAACTGCAATCTGTCCATCATAACGGCAGTTTCTCTGCAACAGAAACCATACGAATGAGCACTCTGAAAGCTTGTATACAGATTTGCACTTTGCTTTATCCCTTACAGGTGCACACTCTTCCTCTGTGAGCACAGCTCCTTCTTCAGACAGGCACTCCAGGGCATCAAAGTACAACCACTGCACAATAGGCATGAATTTTCCTGTGCAGGCCTATGGAAAAGGACATGAACTAAACAAATTAGCAGCTTGTATCAGAAAAATACACTGAGTTTCTACTGTATACATTTGGGCCTGGCATGTCTAGTGATGTGCAAAATGAAGCAAGGCTTTGGTGTGAGTGTGCGTGTGCGCAGGAAAAAGGATAAAATGTTTAATACTCTGGTTATTATTTTAATCATCAAAAACACACACACCGTTAGGAAAGGTTGACCATAAACTTAAGATTCTTTGCAATACATTAGCATCCACAGCAGATGGCAGCATTTTGAAGGTTCATTATAGTGGAACTTTATTTTACCAATCACTAGCATGGATCTATACTAAGAACTGGATAAGACAGTCCGCTTTGTCCGCACGAGAGCCTGATTAGTGGCTGCTCCATAGGTACTGGAACTCGTGGGAGCTCTGGCCAAGGAAGAACTGCCCCGTAGAACACAATGGATTTTTTCTGAAATCAACCTGCCCACGTTTAGCTGACAAGGCATCGACAGCTT